TGCTATGAAGTCGCCGACCGTTTTTGACTGCTAAGAAAACATAGATCACGCTTTCCAAGTTAATCATTTTAGTCACAAATCAGCTCTATTTGCTCTTATTTGGACGCTCTATACGATATCAGCATCTCTTTTCAGGAATAGCGATGAAAGCATGGATATACATTTTTCGTACAGTCACATAAACAGCCCAGATGTAAGTACTTTAGGCTAACTACGCACGAATTAAGTAGCCGCGGTAGCTTGACACATTTCCTGCGTTGTTGACAATTGCATCCAAAGTAGAAGATATCCAAAATCAGTTTTAAGACCTAGTGTAGACCAAGTTGTTTTCTTTGTGCCTGCTCCTTGGTCATACGTCTACGGTTCCTGGTCTTCAGTAAACTTCCTCATAGTTCGTTTTGCCAATCGACTGTTTCAACTTTGGCTGACTCTAAAGTAGAGTAGTGCTGGGATTTGTTACATATGGTTTGTAGTATGCGATGTTTTAAAACCATGTTGCTACTGTGAATGGAGATGATCCTATCACCCCTCAGTCGTCCGGTGTGATCGTAAAGCGACAATAATAGATGAAACAAGTGTGGATTATTGATATAAGTATATAACTTAGGTACTGTGGTAAAGTGTAACTCCATCATAAATAAGATTTCACACAGTGTTGTACAGTAGTATTAACTGATGACGTTTCGAGCACAAACTATTGCTCATAATCATTTCAAGTCACTCACACAACTTTTTACTTCATCTATATACATGAGTGTGCGCCGGTGGCACAGAGGTTAGGACGTTCGCCGACCATGGACATGGTCCGGGGTTCGATCCCCGATCGGCGCACTCCCTTACCTCGCTAAGCCAGAAATAATGCTGGTAAAGAGGAAAGGTTGGGCATGAGGCTAGCAACCCCATCCTGTAAAATTAAACACTGGTACAGAAACTTCAAGCCACTAACTTGAGGCCCTATGTTCCACTGGGAACAAGAAGGAAAAAATATACACGAGTGAAATTAATTAGAAATTTGAATAAAATCAATATAAGATAAAGTACATGCAGAAATAACATTAGTGTTATCAATCAAATACGGTCAGAGGGGGAATAAGATGTCTTTTACAGTAAAAAATAAGTAACTTGTTATAATGTCATAATGTGAATTGAATACATTTTAACACCATTTATTATCCACTGATTTGACGGGTGTAAATAATATCCTCCATATCTCTGGTATTTGCATCGAGTCATTTCTATAGCATGTGTTGGGTGTAGACTCGATGAACTAGGATTCAGTAATCAATCTCTCCCTCCACTTACCTACCTTACTTTTTAGAATTTTGACTCTGTTCCACTCTACTATGTGGTTGTGTATTAATGCATGCAGTACTATGGCTGAGTTTTTCTTCTAACTTACTCATCATCTTGGGATCAATCATCCTAACCTTAGCTAAATTCTTATGTTCTGATAATCTTACTACTCCTCATCTACTAGTTTGACTTATGTAGTTGACCTCACGGTCATTGCAAGGTATTTTGTAAATTATATTATTTAATTTAATTGGGTCCACCGAGTTCAAAAAGGAAACAGTACAAACACAAACGTAATGAAATTTGAAATTAATATATTTACATAAGCATATATGTTTATTAGTGTAAGTGGATGAAAAGGTAGAGTGGACAGAAGATTAAGACAAAGGAGAATTGGGGGAGGGGGTAGTAGAAGGATGCGTCTGAGTGTGCAGCAATTAATTGTGTTTAGGTTTCAACGCAGTCTTTGTGTGATTGCTTGATTGTCGAGACTCCACCGAAAGCTTTCCTTAGACGGTAAAGATTTCAGGGAGCGGAAAATTCTAGTTGAAGAGAAATGGAAGCGCACTGGAGTCTTTGCTATCTGCTGCATTAGCCTTCGCGAATCTTCCCGAGTATGACCATATGTAGGAAATATAGAATTTCTGTGTTTTTTGACTCGGTTAAAATGTAATCTTATAGGCAGAGCGAATCTAAATTTCACGGAGTATGAGCTACATCTATAAGGGAATGACCCTGAACGCATCAGTTAAATGAAAAATGCTGTCTTTCGGTATAAAAACATACTTCTGAAAGTAGTGTGTAAAATGTTACACCAGACACCTGTTCCTAAAGTGTGGTGAAAATAACTGTCAGTTACGCATAGGTGTATCAATAGAGAAGTTTAACCATATTCAAAACACATATTAGTTGAAACGGCTGTAAATAACATCATATTAAGATCTTATAATGACTAATTCTTTTCGTCAATGTTGCCTAAAATCCTTCAGCAGAATTGGCGTGGGTGCATGTATTAGGATAAACAAAATCACTAGCGTGGTTTATCCTATAGTGAATGTATACTAGGGATGACAACGAGTTATATCTTTTCCACACAACTGCATGTTTTATAAGTCATCGTTTCACCAATAGTGTGATAATGGGTATTAAAGTAGTTTGCAATTAATAGTGTTCTCTGAGATGGCTGGTTTAGTTGCGGAGCTCTCGTCGTCCTTCTGGACAACATCTTCAGCAAAATATTTTGCATAAAGTGAAATGATTTAAATTTCTTCATGAGTGATATAAAGAAGCATAAATAATAATAATAATAATAATAATAATAATAATAATAATAATAATAATAATAATAATAAAGATATAATAGGGAATAGAATATCAACTAAAATTAGGAAAATTCCACAAAAATTCATGATCATTTTAGATTAGTAGTCAATAACAATATTAGTGTTTTTTAAATAATATCGATTTGTAAAGTATGATCAATGCAATTTAAGACAGACCAGCTCAGAGAAGACTATTAATTGCACATCATCCACCTGAGCTACAAATATTTTCTATTATTAAAGTAGTTTAATTTCCAAATGATATTCTCACGATGAATTCTTTCTGTAGAGAGGTATCGAATGATCCAGTCACCCAAACATTATTTTCTCATTCACGACCACGGTTGTATTTCCTCTTTAATAAGACTGTCTGATATACCTCTGCAATGAAACCTTCTGCTCCCGATAAATAAATAAGTCTCTCCATTTCCCAAGATGCGATATCTCTGAAGTGCTGGTACTGTTGGTGTGTTAAAGCGAGACTATTTTATGTCTCATCATTTGCAGCTCTCATAGAGTGTTTTAAAAATCAGTAACTACAAATGTACAAAATCCGGATTGATGACAGATGGGATTTCGCAGAAAGTGTTAATACGAAAGTGTAATCACTGGCTTACCTTCTCACACACTAACTCGTCTCGAACAAATTCCACAACGGTGAACACGTCCATCAACCGATCTACTAGAGATTTTTATACCCATAATATAATATACCCACCAAAACAACAAATTTTTTCCTTTCTAATTAATCCCATATCTAAACAGCACTGAAAAACTCAGCGTACACCAAATTTCACGGGTAAGTTTGTTAGAGCACGTATTCCATTCGAATTAAGGGGAATGAAAGATTGAACTCACATGCATAAACTCATTGTCTATCCAAGGTCAGTGATGTTGTTGTGATTCGTTGGTAGGTACTGGTGGTTACAATTTAACGAGGCCAAAGACAGTAAATAAGTCACCCCTGAGTCGATGGTAGCTAAGTATAAAAAGACCTAATATCGTCAGCCATTCATCATAGTTTTTTCCAGAGACCCATCACCCGTTTCGTCGGTCGTCTTTGAACTCTTTCGAAATGACTAGTGTCGTTTCTGAGGAATAGATGAGCTATGATATTTTGCACTTCAAGGTGTGGTCATACGTATGTTTCGTACAACCCTAGAAAAACATTCTAACCCGTTTGTTAACCTGTCTGGAGAGTGATGAGATAGCTGAGTGGGATAAATGTGACTGTAGCAATGACGTCACAACATTCAAAGAAAATGCAGCTACTATGAGATGGCTACAGCCAATTGGTAATTGAATTTTACATCTTCACCGGATAACTCCCTGCCTTCCTCTAGAAGAACGTCATGTTTAATTTTCCCAAAATGTCCAACGGTTCAGATGGTAATCATGATGTCTCTGACAAACACGCCTATGGCTTCTTGTAGTGTTGAGCGATGGTATATTAAATTCGTTAGCAATCGTGGTCTGATCAGTTCCAACTTAAATAAGTTCAAGAATTTGTTGATGTTTATTCTCAAAAGTCGACAGTTAAAGAACTCTACCAGCCGGAAACTCCGTTACTTACTATCATAAACACAAAACTTCCTAAGCAAGTTCAATCAGGTTTGCGCACTGTGGTAGAGTATAATTACATTATGGGTAAAATTTATTTTGATAATCACCTTGATATGATTAATAGCAATAAATTGTGCTTGAAACGTCATCAGTAAATATTACTGCATAACACTGTGAGACTTTATCAAAATAAATTTTACCCATAATAGATTTGCGCAAGTGTCTAGCCTCAAAATGACCTGATTACTAACAAACATAGCAACCTCAACTCCGTCCTTCCCCACATTATTTACAAAATGTCATTCAGTGTGTGCCTATTTTGTTGTCTCAAAATCTATTTGATAGACAACTTCCAGTTAGAATGACAACTGTCTGTGCAAGTTTACAGATAGCAGCACGGCCATACTACTCCCAAAATCGCAGACGTGACTTTCAAAGGAATTGAAGGTTTCTACAGACTTATAGGTACTTTATATGTTATTTAGTGGCAGATTTCCCGAATCGAAGCAACCCTCTAACACCTCAGTCCATTTCATGGGAGCTGGACCGGCGCCGTCTTCCTACGAGGTCATGGACATAGTTAAGCGCAAGGTCTGAATCAAGTTGCTCGATGACAAAACTAGATTAGGTTTGTAACGTCACACTTGTGAGCTGTATGAAATCTGAGCGAAAGCACGACCACCTGATTCTTCAAATCTACATCATAGATGTTCTAATTAACATTAACTGTTCCTAATGTTGCGTCTACCTCTGCTATGAGTGGTATAGTTAGTGTTTCAAGCGCGATGCAAACAAGCTTAGAGGATAGAAACATGGGAAGTTCACAATTTCTGATTTATTTCTTACAAAGCTTTACTAACACATGGTCATATACGTTTATAAGTTACTGAAAATGTTCTCCAATAGGGACCTTTTTAATCTCAGACAGACCTCTAAAATGAAGCGTTATTAGTTAGGCTTTATTAGGCTCAACTTACTGTGCGTCACGAGATAACAGGAAAAAGTTTTCCACATAATCTGATCTTCCCAGTAACTCAACGAAATCAGCATCATGTGTGATAACTATTAGCTGAAAGTTCTTCTGACGTCTTCTATTTTTTATGATTCTAAATGCACAAGAATTAATGCAAATGTTAAGCTATGAATATTTTCAAAGCCAAAAGAAAGCACACATCTGATAAAATGAAAATGTAAAGAGATTTTTATCCATTATTCTCTTTTTCAACATATTAAGACTGCATATACATATTTGTTAGTTACAATCATTGATTGTTTTTTAGCAAGAAGCCATAACTAGTTATATTCACAAGATTCCTTCACTTTATTTTACTCTCTGCGTCCAACCTTCCCATTTTACGGGGCTTACTACCGGCTGAGAGAGCTTTAGGAGTACGTCAGTCAGGGGTCGAACCCTATACCACGTGCGTGGCTGGAAGTGCAGCATAATCCTTTTTCTAAGCGGTAAATACAAGAAAACTACTCCTGTTTTAGGATGCGACATGGTAGTAGTCCACTCTATACCGGACTTGGAGTTCTTCTGGTTTCCGCAGTTTAGCATTTCAGATACCGTTTAAGTATTGAACAAGATTTCAGATATTAATTTCGTAACAGTAACTTTTTAACAGGCTTTTTATCAACTCGAAAATTTAATTCAAAGGAAAGCAGTCATGAATTCTCACTCGTAAACTGACAAATCTTGACCTTATATACTATACTCTTCTAATGCGAAGGTTCAAAATAAATCTCTAAGTTACTTGGTTAGATGGTGACTATTAAACAAAAAGACTTTAGGTCCTTTATTTATCGGAAACAATTATTATCTGTGACTAAGGATTAGTGATTTGGAACCACTCAGGTTTATTGTTTAGGTCAAAACAAAAGAGAAAGTTAGAAGCACCCACATACTTAAAAATGGAAGTTTTATGCATGATTCAAACTGTTTCCGGATGTTATTGATACCGACTGTATATATAACAGTGTAAATCGTAATGCTAATAAAAATTGAATAGACAATAAGAAAGATGACTGTTATTTCAACTGTGTGTTGAACATTCTGAGTATTATTTCTGCTTACTCTGATTTGTTATTGAAGTAGATGAAATAGTTGTGTTCATTCATATAACATCCACTAATTCCTTATTAACCACCAGAAATAGACTGAAGTGTAATGAGAAGATGCATCACAGCAGTGCCCTAAAAAATTGAGTTCACTATCATAATAAAGATTATGTCGAGGGGTAGTTGAAGAGCAGCTTTATGTCAGAAAAATAAATATATAAATGGGTTATAGGTACTTACTCTACTAGAGCGTAGGCTAAACTTTCGATATTTTCTCTGTCCAGGTTTGTAGTTGGTTCGTCAAGTGCAAGCACTCCACAGTGTAGACAAAAGACCTCAGCCAAAGCTAGACGGATAATTAGACTAGCAAGTACTTTCTGCCCAGCTGAACACCGACCGCGCATATCTAGACGAGCTTCACCGTGGTATGCACTAGAGTCTTTTGACTTCGATCGGCAAACTGAAGCACTTGTCTTTACCATTACAACACGGTAATTGTAGGTTCTCCGTGTTCTGCTAACATTGGAAGCTGCGCTGGTATCTTCCTCGCTACATATCTCGATATAATCTATATCTTAAAGGCAAAGTAAAATTATAGGATTATTATTATTGTTCCTTTGGGTTCCTAGTGGAACATAAGGCTTCAACTGCACGTCTCCACTTGCTTCTGCTGTACTTTTCACCTGCATTCATGTTAGTCCATACTCTTTCAACTCCTCTTCATACGATCTCCTCCATGTCACCCTTGCACTGACGTCCCACTCACCGCTTCCCTTTCGGCCTGGTTCCACTCGAGCAATGGCCTGAGGAGTGATGTCACCCAGTGGTCTCCTCAGAGAATGTCCAATCCATCTTAATCCACTTCCTCCTGTATATTTATTGGGCGATCGGTGCTTGTTTTGTTTGTTCCTATAGTTTCTGTTGGTGATTCTTTCCGGCCCGGCCATCTCATCTTCAGTATAGAGCGGACACAGCTGTTGATAAAGGTCTGCAACCTGTTGTAATATTATTTGTGACCCGCCACGTTTCTGATCCGTATAGAAGAAATGACTTGACGTTTGTATTGAAAATCCAACCGAATTTTGTTGTTGATGCTGAGTGACGAAGATTCCCAGATTGGTTTCAGGTCGATGAATGTGTTTCTCTCCTTCCTGATTCTCGCTCGATTTGACATCCTCGTCCGTTCCGACTTCCTGCAGTTGAGACAATGCTCCCTAGATAAGTGAGTGAATGAAGTAACCTCTTTCAAATCCTTCCCATTGATGGTGATTGGCGCTGGATGTTTTCATAACTTCCATCTTGTCTATGTTTACTTGGAGTCCTGTCTTTGCTGCTTCTTCGACCAGTTTGTCGGTTTTTGCTTATAAGTCTTCGATTTTGTGTGACATTAAACATAAATCATCCACGCGCGAAATCCAGGTCTTCTAGGTTCTTCATGTCGGTCCAGGATGTCCTTGTCTGCTCGTTTCCCACTGTCCGACGCATGATCCAGTCCACCACAATTAGGAATATCATTGGTGAAAGTAAGCACTCTTGTCTGACTCCTGTGTTTACTCCAAACGCCTTGCTGAGTTTTCCGTTGTGGATCACTTGACATGTGCCGTTGTCGTACAGCTGTTGAATAAGGTTGATGAATATTTAGGGTACGCCGTAGTGCTCGAGTAGTTTCCAAATTACTTCGCGGTCAACGCTGTCGAAGGCCTTCTCAAAGTCTATAAAGTTGAGGTAGAGGTTTGATTGCCATTCCATGCTTTGTTTGATGATGCGTGGAGTTGCAATTTGGTCAGAACCTGATTTGCCTTTCCTGAATCCAGCTTGCTCTGGTCGGAATTCTGTATCCAGTGTGTCCTTTATTCTCTCCAGCATGATGCGACTTAGTATCTTGCTTGGCGAGGACAAGAAAATTATTCAACGTTAGTTCTTCCAGAGGCCTAATTCACCCCTCTTTGGTAGCTCGACCAGGTAGCCAGCCTTTCTTCCAATCGGTGGATAACTTTCCTTCCTTCCAAACCCTTTGTAATAATGACGCGGGAACATCTGCTGCAGTTTCTGGGTCCGTTTTCAGTACTTCGAGGGATTCTACCTGGTCCTGTTGCCTTTCCGGAATTCAGAAGCTTGATTGAATTCAAGACTTCAGCTCTCCTTGGAGGATTGGTGTCAACTTGCAGTTGTGTACGCGCTGTTGTTGGTATTTCTGGACGGGTTGCAGGCGGTGGTCGGTTCAAGAGTCCTTTGAAGTGATCCGCCCATTGTTTAATCTGTCTTTCTGTTATGTTGCTGCTGCTAAGTGGTTAACAGTAGTTTTCCCCGTCGCCAAATTACTGCTATGTACTGGTCGAGAATTTAATAGTCCTGACGTAAGAAGGCGGAAATCAGAAGACCACTAGGTTTGCGATGATACTTCTATTTTCCAAACACAAGGAGAATGCAATAAGTGGTATCACGCCAAAAATAAGTCACACAAATTGTGAGAGCGAAATATATATGAATGTCCAGACAAGGGTGTGAACAAATCAATAGACAGTCTTAACATGAATGGCTAATTATAATGAAGTATCGATCCAAATATACATAGCAAAATATAGCAGACATGTCAACAACCACCATATATGGATATATGTCACCAAGCAACGGACTGTCAACAAACACTCATATTATATTATATATAATATAAGGAGAATATACATTGTTAAAGGAGACAGGTTCATCAAAGTGAAATGGTCACAGACTAAGCGAGCAAGCAGAAAGAGAGATCACCATACACACACACATATATATATGTGGATACATATCACTTTCTTCCTTGGTAATTGGGTTCCCTTGGCTGTCTTTTATAGGTTTCGCTTGTGTTGATCTCTTCCCGGATAGAGATTTGGTTATCTGATATAATGTCCTCAGGTCCCTTTTGCCTGCTGCCTTCTCAGCTTCAGTGGCCAGGTTGTCGTAGAATCGTCTTTTGTCCTTCCTAGCACTCTTCTTCACTTCTTTGTCCAGTGCTGTGTATGTTGAACTCAGCGTCTCCTTCTCTTGTCCGTCTTTGCATTGAATCATTTTCTCTTTCACCATTCTCCTCTCCTTTATTAGCTTCCAAGTGTCCGTTGAGAGCCATTCCCTGTCTTGTCTCTTCTTTCTTCCTAAAACCGTTAAACACGTTTCGTTGAAAATCACCTTCAGAGAGTTCCAGTGGTCTTCCACACATGATTCCTCAGTGATGTCACGTAGTATTTCCTCCTTCGCTCTGACAGTTGCAGTGAAAGTGTCCTTTGTGGTTGTGTCCTTCAGTTTTTGAGTGTTGAACTTGCATTGTGGCCTATCCCCAGCTATCCTCGAGGCTTTTAGTTTTACCTTGAAAAACCCTTTTACTAGATAGTGGTCTGAACCCACATCTGCTCCTCTCCTAGACCTTGTGTCCAGTATGCACCGTCTCCACTTCGTTGAGATTGAAATGAAGTTTATCAGGTTTTCGGTGTGTCCATCTGGTGAAATCCATGTCGCCTTGGGTATATCCTTGTGTTTGAACACACAAAATTACAGGATACATTATTCAAACTAACACATTTTTTACTGGTCAGTCCATGAATTTTAAAGCAATTATTTCTCTTCAAGAATTTTAGAATACAAAACAATAAGACGTATCTACACTTTTCGAACAAATTACTTTTCTTAGTGTTTTGTCAAAAGTCATTGAATCACGTTACAACTGACAAATGAAGAGACTTATCGTTTGTGATACTTTTTCCGTTCCGGTAGATTGATTTAATGTTTCATACATAAATTTTCTGTTCAGCATTGACTATGAGAATAGTTTTTTCTAATACAGCCGGCAATTAATAAAATAAAATACTATAATTATTAAAAACATTCAGGGAACTGAAAGTGATAATGCACGTTTAATCATAATGTTTAAGGTGAATGCTACAAATACTAAGTTTCCTAGTCCCACTAATGAGTTTTTGCTTGATGAGAAGTTATTGAAGATGATGAATACAAATAATAATATCACGAAACTAACACCGAAAGAAACAGAAGCGCAGAAACATAGACATTTAAGCTATCAATGTAAGAAACGTAATATTTGGAATAGCAGCGATTTTAAAGCATAAATTCATGTCTACACGAAAGAAAGCCAAATACATAAGTATTTGTTAGCGAAATAGTAATGCACTCACAAGTTTCAGTGATTATCACAAAGTGTTAAAACGTATTTTGTAGTTATAAAAAGTTAGAACTTCAGAATCTAAGAAATTTTTTTCTTTCGATAAACTACTTTGAGAAGCTGTATTATTGTATCCAATATTGAACAGGATATTAATGAAAATCTTTAGGCTAATAGTAGTATGCTTAGAAATTCATTATGCTATAAGAAAGGTTAAGTAAAAGAGAGAGGAAAAATGTCACTTATTTCAGAGTAGAAACAGACCCATTAGTTCATTCCCTTTCTACATTTACTGTGAAATGATACTTTCCTCAAGCCCAAATTTTATACTTTCTTACTCTTTTACTTATTCTTACTATGGTGTCATGATGTTGTGGAATCGACTAATGGCATTTAACTAGTTAGTTTTCACTTTATTCAGATTAAATGGAGATTATATATTGCAAAAGAACTAACCATTGCCGCGATATGTGCTCCTCCATAATTCGCGGATAATTTTATTCAAATCAGCCATTTTGACAGCATGATACGACATTATAGCTCTAGAGAGAGAATTAACAATTCTGATTAAAAAAAGACTGACATTTATAGAAAAAGAAATTGCGTTCTTCTAATAAGCGATAAGACAAATATTGTAGAAATTTAAACGACAATTTGTGATATTCCCAAGAGCTAGTTTGATCACGGATTGCTATCATTTAGAGAGCGATTGAAAACCAGGTGCGAGTTAGAATTTATAGACCACTTAATCGGGTTCCAGTGGATGAATGGTACACAAGCTCATCTTTTAACTGCAACGTCCTGGGACTTGAAACCCAGTGGGTGAGTAGTGCTGAAGAACCCCAAACGGCTGTCCAATTATCCACGGTTTTAATTGGTTCTCTAACTGATATCGACCCATGATCAAACTTGAAGCATCTGTGATGTCAGACGTCAGCATTTCATAATCTGAAAACTTTCACTTTAATATTCTTAGTGAGGGTATCCTAAACCAAAATACAACCTCCTCCTGATTTGCTTACCCTTAAGGAAGGTGATTTGTGTAAGGTAGTTGCAGTATAAGCAAGAAAATGCTATGATGCAAATGAACAATTAAAAATTTCATGGATTAGGATAATATCTTGGTTATATCATTTGAAAGTCAGTGTACACAATCCTTTACAACCCAAGCATATGTTAGGTTAGAGCAGAAGACGCTGCCACAGAGTAAAGCTGGTCGTCATTAGACATTTGAGTGTCTTATGTTACTGTTAGAGTATGCAGATAGATTCATATGACTTTTGTCTACCCCTACTCATAACGACAGTACACTAAACACAGATCTTCAATTGTTTGGAGTGGTCGAAACGATAACATGTTTTACTGTCTGCTTTGAAATGACCATGAACATTGGTTTCTTCGTTGATTTTGTGCTCACTGAGAAATTGAAAACACTAATTTCATAAAATGTGCTCGCCATAAAATTACATGACTACGAATAATGAAGCTGAAATAAGGTGAGTGCTATTCTGCGTTTTATTTGATGAGTAGTGCTACAATTTGATTCGTTCATGATTGGTATTTCCTGAATCCAGCCTGTCTGGGGGCGGAGTCTCCCACCTACCCTTCACCTCTCTAGGATGATTCGATTTTGTATTTTTCTTGGGTGGATAGGGACATGTTTCTGCGCAGGTTCTTGCATATGCTTCAGTTGCCTTTCTTTGGCAATTTGATGAGGCAGCCTTTCTTCCAATCGGCAGATACCTTTCCATTCTCCTTCACATTCTCACTCCTCATGGTCTGCTCTACGGCCCAATCCACTACAAGCAGGGAATATATTCAGTGGTAATAGGTAGACCTGTCTTTACTGAGTTTTTCATTGTTATTCACGTGGTATTATCATTTAGTTGTTTAACGAGGTTTACAAAGGTTTGGGGCACTCCCTAGTGTTGAAGCAGTTTCCGAATCACTTCTCGGTCGGTAATTGGCTTCCCTTCATTAGCTTCATCTGGATTGACCTCTCATTGGATAGTGGCCTCGTTAATTTATATATTGTTGCGAGGTATTTCATACCCACAGCCTCTCCTGCTTCAGTTGTCAGTGCATCATAAATCATCATTTGTCTTAGCACTATTCTTTAATCTTTTGTTCAGTGCACCGTAGATGATACTCAACCTTTGCTTTCCGTGTTGATCTCAATAACCAGTTCATCTTCTGCTTCAGCATCCTTCTCTACTCTATTAGCTTCCACACGTCCATGTCTTGCCTAAGATGTCTATACATGTTTCCTTTCATACCTCCTTCAGAGAGTTCCAGTAATCTACTCAGGTTTCTTCGATGTTGTTGCATAATGCCTCCTGACGTTTTTCTGTTGTCTCTCTTGCAGATTCATCCTTCAATTTTTGAGTGTTGAACTTGAATTGTGGTCTAATCTCCACGTCCTTCGGAGGCCTTCAAATTGATTTTGAAAGTTACTTGCACTAGGTAGTGGTCTGAACCTAAACTGTGTCTCTACCTTCCTGAAAATGAGATGAAGTCTGTCCGATATTTCCTGTGTCCAAATGGTGAAAACCACGTCATATTGTGGATATCCTTGTGTATGTATACTCTGCCTTCAATCAGCAAATAATTCAAGGAGCAGAAATCTGCAAAGAGGTTACCCTTCTCATTCATTTAAGCGACCGCTTCTCAACCGGTGATGAGTTGTCATTACACTGTTATCTGCTTTTAGTTTGTCTTGCATTCATATCAGGGATTAGAATTCCAAAGTCACCATCTGACTTTGGTCTTGTTCAACATTGTTTGCAGCTGTCTATAGAATCGTACAGTTATAGTTTCCAACCTTTCTAGTTGAATCTTGAAGTGATGATCCTAGACGAGACTGGTTGTCACTACATGAGTTAGTGATTTCACGACGACTACGAACCCAAATATGCTTGTCGTTGTCGTATTATTGGCTAAATTAACATACTGACTTTCCAGTTAGCACTTTGGAGAATCCACTTCTAGTTCACCTGAGTTTACCAATTCCCAGTACTTTTATACTATATCTCCTCATTTCTTCTGCATTCTGGACAACCTCGTCAATTTTGAATATGACCATGACATTCCATATGACGATGCTTATTCCCGCTATAATCAACAAAAGACATATCGTCTTTCAACAATTAGCGTCCTCAAATTCAAACGCCTACCTGATTACAGTGGAGAATAAGTTTTCATAGTGATATAATGGTTCGCAGTGTAAGGTTGTTACTACGATATCCAACCTTCCCTAATTACTAGGATAGGATTGGTTTGAAAAAAAAGACTCCACGTGCCACGGAGACACTGCGTTATCACATCTGCACTACTACAATTGATTAGAATATTTCAAATACTTATAATCAGTGACTGGAGACTCTTGGTAATTAGCCCAAAATCTGTTCACCATTTTACAGATACATTTACCAATCTTCATTTAACCATTCCTCTTTCCACACGCTCTCCTCTTTCTTATATTCTTGCTTTAAGTATAACAGCATAAAATGATGCATATCTCTGCTGTGTTACGTTAATTTCTCCGTCAGTCCCTACTTCAAGGTAACATCATATCATTATGGCATAGCAATTGTTGGTAGGTGAAAATATGAGGGAGCAGAAAACATTGATAATAACTGAATGATATTGTCATTTGTTCTGCTACTGAAATACATACCTGTCAAGAGCCTTATAATAGCGTTCCAAATCTGTACACGCCAGTTCTGAAGTCTACATACAAGAAAATATTTTTTTTATACAATTAACAAGTAAAGAACAATATTTCAACTATCTTTACATCCATAAATTCATTTTAAAGTCTACACAGAAAGTGATTTGATGTAATAAATAGAGGAAATCAGAATTCGTATGAATGCGAAGAAATTCAGTTGCATCATTGTTTTTACTTTTAGTGGAACATATTTGAAAGATTACTTTGCATCAGTGGAAGGTGTCAAAGAGGCATTCCACAATAATTGTTAATTCACCCAAGAATGTATTCAAGTTGTAGCTAATATCCAAGTTACACTGTAGTAACAGTTTAGTGCCTACGAGTAATCTAACCACTGGCGTATGGTTTCAGAGTTAATACATGTTTTTTATTTTGATAAATCACACAGTGTTGTACAGTTATATTAACTGCTTCAGTTAATATAACTGTACAACACTGTGTGATTTATCAAAATAAAATCTTATCCATAATGGAGTTATACTCTACCACAGTGCCCAAGTTTTAAACTTATATCATTAATATAAGTTTGTAGACTGACATGTGGCAATTCAGAAAAACAGGCCAATATCAACAAACAGTAAAATATGCAGGAATGCAGTTAAACTAAGAAGAAAGCGGTCACACAAATTTATAATCTTCTTCATTACAAAGTACAATAAGTCGTTCTATTTTATGAAACTTATTTTTCGATGCTCACATACTTAGTTTCAGCATTTCTTAATTGTGATGCCTGTTTTATCACACCAGCTCAAGTCTCCGCAAGGTACTGACTAAGTCCCAAAGTATCTGTATGTACTTCAGGAAAGCAGTCACAGCACTACAAGTATATAATCTCCCGTTACGATGTTTATTAAAAGTTCTTTTGATGAAATTCAGTCAGTACAAAGAAATAAACAAAATGACAATGCTTGCTCTCCAATAACCAACAGATAATATAATACGAACACACCTTAAGCAGGTACATCATATCGCGGTATTCACTGTCAGCACTGGCGTATTTTTCATTTAAATCACGATTGAGATAATGCAGTTTTGCTTTCAATTCACTTAACTGGTTAGATACATCTTGTTTCTAGGTATAGAGTAGACAGAGAAGAAAAAAGGTTTATTAAAGAGATCTTAATACGATTTAACTACTTTAAATCATTTGAAGAGATCATAGTGTTCGTAATAGGTGTTTAATTAACTGTTAGATGGAGTTATTAAATGAAATACCTGCAAATTTGAAGTAATTCAATATATCAGTACATGGACGAGAAAATGAATAACATTTGTAGTTGTTTTAGACGATTATGACTGCTAAAGGGTTTAGTTTCAAAATAAATTAATATAAAGTTGACTAAGGGATAATGATCATCCGTTCAGACGTATTCTCGACAGTCAGTACTGATCATTCTTATCAAAACTAACAGTAAGACATTCAGTTTCTACTGAAGGATATTATTCTTCGAACCGATTGACAATCTCTAAATGGGACCTCAGCATTAAAATATCAAAGTAAGACGAAATAATTGTACAACCAATTCGTTGATTTCTCAAAACTGTTTAGTGTATGTGGAATGGATCTTCAATTAGTATAACAGTAAAAGCATTCTTCAGTAATTCTTAACATAATCATTCAAATTGATAGAAAAAGCCTTCAGGACGAAAGAGGTTCATACAATTGCCATACTAACCCACACATAGCAGAAATGATGGAGAGAGCCAGACAATTTTGTTTTACTGTATAATTCGTGAGTAATCATAAGCATCCTACATTTAAGGGCGAACTGATCTCCCTTTACATTCTTACGAATATTTCTCCGTTGCTTCTTGTTATTTGCATTTCTTTAAATAAACACTTCACATGCATGAAAACATCAATCGACTTATTAATACAAGAGAGTTTGAGTTTGTCAGCTTGCCAGTCAATCATTTAGAGTTAAAGGTGACATGACTTACAAGTGAATGCAGGTTTTCTTCCTCTAGCGATAAACGTTTTGTTTCTTTGATCAAATCTTGATCAGATCCAGGGAAATTATTGCAGTCCTTGTGATTTTGTATAAGAGATTCTGTGCGTTGTGTTAGTGAGGTAAGCTGACAACGGAGGTGACGAAGCTGAATACAATCAGCCAATTCTCGTTGACGCACCTGTAAAAAAGTAAAGCATTCTTGAATTGCAGAAAAGTAGGAACTACTTTGTAAGTTATAAACTAAAATAAATATTTTGTTCAGTTTCATAAATATTGGACACCGAGCGAACAGCAGATATTTTTATATAACCTATTTTCGTTCAAATATACATTCACTTAACATGCCTGCAAAGAGTAAAGTATGCTTACTCTATCCGATGATATTATAAACCATCATGCATTAAACAAAGATTAGGATTTAGCTCATTAATTAGTATTCAGTTATTTAGATGCACTAATATTGAATCTTGAAGAAGACATTATCACCAGCAAAGATTGTTTAACAGTGTTTTTTTATTTTGTTATAAGACTGTCCGTCAACTAAAGCTAAAAGTAAGATATGAATTTGACTTCAAAATCAAGATACCTAACCACTTTTAAGGTAGTATATATTATCCTGGAAACAAATTTTAAAACATCTATTAGACCAACTTTATGCTCATTGATTTGTTTCTTCAGAAATTCCATATTTTCACTGCAGGTATCCAATTCAGATCTGACACAGCATAACTTGGTTTCGAGTTTTCCTACAGTTTCTTGAATATCCTTTAATCTTTTTGTGGGTTGAGAAATGGATGCGTTTCTGACCGAATCGCACACCTCAGTTAAATTTTTCAGTCGCTCATGAACTTCATTTACCTGGAAAAAGTTTAAAAGAAAACTTTACATTAACACCTTACAAAGAAGTATAAAAATTATGCTCAAACTTAGATTTATTGAATAACTTACTTTTACAGTGGCTTGTTCTATAGTCTGTTCATGTTTCTTGATAAGGCGATTACGTTCAGTGCATGCTTCAGCCCAATGACGATGAACATTTGGGAGTTGGTTAGCTTCTAATTCATGTAGTTCAGTTTTAAGAGTTTCACAGTCACTGGTTAAACGTGAAAGTTCATCTCTCAGTCGAACATTATTCAAATTTTCTTGCTCTAACTAGACAAAAACAACCAGAGAAATAAGTAATTCATATTGTTTTCTCAATTCCTTTTAACTGCATTTAATAACATTAAAAAAAAAAAAAAACAATTATTACATACCTTATGCATTTCATCTTTTAGTCTGTGCATTTCACTGATAGCTTGATGCTTAGCTTGATTCAGCTGATCAATACGTTTTTGTTTTTGATCAATTACATCGGAAGATGTACGTCTAAAAAGTCATAGTAGAAGTTACGTGAAGGAAGTATTTCAAGTGACTATTACTGAGAATAGTTAAACAATCGCGGTAAATCTAGGACGTGAATCTTCATAATGAAAACACTAACACAAAATTAGTAAGGGAAATATGACGATATAATGATAATAAACCGATCGATGATAAATGACACACACAATATTCTACTAGCTAATAAGAGCAGTTCAAAATCACAAATAACAACTACTAGACACACCAAAGTGATTTGAGCTCTGAAAAATAATTTCTGTCAGGTGGGTTAGAAGTAATCGAAATCAGATGAAAGGATCAGATCAAACCATCCAGGTTTTAGCCAAGTGAATCCACGCCCTGATAACAATCGTGAGCCACGACCATTTGAGATTACTTCTTAAGTGACTACAGAGATTACTGGTTTTTAAACTAATCACATTTTATCTAGTGGAGACAGATAATAGTGGGTACGTATAATACATTTCATTTTCTATAATCCCCTGAATGGTTTAGAGATGTGTAAAATGTACTGTCTGATAGAATGTAACAGTCTAATCATGGTTCTTTGGTTGATGCCTATCCAGAACACTTTATTTTTTGCTGCTTACACGATACATATGCAGCACACTTTAAATTATTAATAAAACGTGATCAAATAACGAGTTGATGTTGCATGCTGATTTACTAAAAACCACTCCTTACAGTTTTTCACGTAATGTTTTTCTCTCCTCTTGTAAAACTTCAATCGACTGAGAATCATCTACAAAAAGAAGTAATACTTGTTAGATAATGTATAATCTTCATTAACAAAAATAAACATATATACATATATAATTTAACGGACCAAGAGAAATGAAAGGATTAACGAAACTCACTCGTCACACAGTCTGTGAACTCAGTTCTGAAAGAATTAATTTTCAGTGTTAGTTCAAAAGATTCATTTTCTAAGCGTTCCAATATAGCCAAATCACCTTGCATAGTTTTCGCTAAGAATTCATCTGCTTGACATGTTTCAAGGACAGCAGCTGTCTGGATATAATATAATGTACACGAAAGTATTTATTAATTTACATGACTTTAAGACTTTAAAGTATTGGTTTGTAGGGATTTGACTGACTTTGAAATAATAGAAAAGATTTGTAACTCAGGTGGATGATTTGCAATTAATAGTGTTGCTAATTTGACTGACTGTTTACAGGGTATTAGAGAACCACTGGAAAACCTGGAAGTACTGGACAGCTGTTTAGTAAGCCTAGTTCGGGACTCTTCATCAGCACGCATCCACTGCCAGGGTTAGAACCCAGCACCTTCTGCTTACAAGGCGGACTCGTAGACCATTTAGCCACTAGGACCCGATCCAACGGCTCATGAACTCCAACTTCTGCCAATTCACGACATAGCGCGACCTTTAGCCAATGTATTTGGCAAGTACTTGTCCGCACACCCCACCTACTGTACCCTACTGGTCACGATTTCATTGTAAACAGAAGTCGAGTGAGTGACGATGAGAATTGAGGAAAGTAAATAAATATTTTAGAGAATTATTAAACTTTTAATAATTACGTGATTAAAAGCTGCAGGTTATTAAAAAGGAGATCATGCATAGCCCAGTTGATTAGTATTTTGGACCTATGAATGTTATTAAAAACACAGAAATTAGAGAGAGTAAACCACTTTTCCTTAGGCAATTATTACTTTTAGCTAATCACTAGTCAAGGAATGAACTTTGATTTCCAGTTAGTGGATTATTAGTTTTCAGGTTACATGAAGATGGTCATTATAAGAAATCAAGATTAGAGCTATGGTTCATTGGAACAAGCGTTTGATTTTCAACCACTACGTCACTTGTCGGAGTTTGAGACCTCAAGTAGTTCCGCTAGCACTCACACAGTACGTATGATACGTTGCTAACAGAACGTGAAATTGTAACTACTTGCTTAGTTCGTAATATTTTTAACAAAAAGACAAGTCACTAAGTAATTTTTTTAGCTGACATCAGTGATATTGGCAGCTTTCATAATGCGATTGACTCTCTTATCCAAATAAATAAGACAATAATAAAATTAATACTTTCACCTTCAAATTTGTTAATGTTAATAACTATAGGTGGAACGTTTTAATCACTTAGAGAAAGCATATGAATTACTTAGTACAATGGTAATGAAAGTGACTTATTAGAAATGATTGCAAGTTACAGAATTTTCAACTTATCAATGACATTCATGTTAAAAGGAGTAGGACTGGGGGGGGGGGGGTCGGAGACAAGCATAACTGTAAGACGTAATAGTTCCTGTTCTAACATTTAATAATTTCATGTATTGAATAACTAGTGAAATTGTACTACATGGACAAGGAAAATCATCCAAACAGACAAATTTTAAAGAACTAACGCACAGACACTAAAAAAGTAAGAAATTATCTAATTAAACTTAATTTTATTCACCTTGTCTCTTTGACCGCATATACTGGAGAGCTTATCCAATCCAGATTTCATTTTTGATTCTACAGCTGGCAGTTCTTTTTCTTTCAAATTTAGAATCTACGAGGAAGTCCAAAAGAAAGTATAACGATAGGATTGATACAAATAAGCCTCAAATGTAATTTTCTAAAAAAACTCGGTGATCATCAGCAGAAATTAATTGGTTTTTAATTTGAATTATTGCTAAAATGATATTGATTTACAGAATGTATCCTGACGACAGTAAAAATAAGTTTTCTTGAAATCTAATAATTTAGATATCTTTGAGAAAAACATTGAGCACAACTGGTTGACGTGTTACTTGCAAGTACTTATACCGATAAACAGCCCAGCATTATGAAAATCCACAGGTCGGTAGAGAATATCCTTTTGCAACTTCACTTCACAATGGTGAGGGTAATGCCTGTAACGGTGAGATGTTAATAACAGTCCGTAATAAGACATCAAATTGTATGTCAGGAAAAATGACATTGTGCAAACTAAAACATTAAGTGATGCATGCCGACTCAGAGATGATAACCATTAAAACCACAAGGAATATTGTTCATGAGATTAACAGATTCCAAATACTTATTTTATTATTTTTGTATTACAGTTTGATTCTACACCGCATTTTTCGGTAAGGGTATGGAATTTTCAGCATGCGATATCGGTAGCCCAAATTTTGCAGCCCGACCATAGATATCAGGTGTGCATCGGCAGGGGATCAAACCCCGGACCATTTTTGCATGGTCGGCGAGAGTCCTAACCACTGTGCCACCGATATAGTTTAAATTGAGGAGTGTGAAACGAAGGAATGAGAGGAAAAAAACAGAATTATGAATTTCATACCAAATTATTGTACAAATTATTAATAAGAAAGTGTTTAAGACCACAGCAGGAACATGGTAATAACCATGTGCATATAACAATCCACTTGCTCCTGTGAAGCTGAGTGGATAGTCTGTACCAGTAGGGTTTTGTTTAGACGTGGATAAAAACATGAAAAAGAACGGTTGGAAAAATAGTCGAAAGAACAGGAAACTTAACATGAATAGATCCATGATATATGCAGAGGTTGAAGTGATTTCTCTTGAACAAAAAACTTCACTTCCTTGAAGCATATGGAGAGGGATTTTGCAGTATAAAACAGGTCAGAGGATTTCCGTTTAATCTATAAACGACTACAAATGACGAGTCAGTTGAGATGTCAAGACAGATATTAAGATTATTAACTTTGAATCTGGGTGGAACATAAAGCTTCAACAGCACATCTCCAAACCTTCTCGTTCTCTGCAGTCCTCTTCAGATGACTCAGCAACTGCCCATAAGTTTTCATCGCCTCCTCCAAGTCAACATCGGAGCCCCAACTTGTCGCTTCCCATTTGGGTTCCACTCAAACGATGGCAATCATGGGTCTTCTCCATTTTCTTCTGCATATCCGTTGAGCAATAGGTTCCTGATTGGTTCGTTCTCATACTTTCTTCTTGCTAACTTTTTCTAGCCACTTGATCTTCAATATGGAGCAAGCGAAGGCAGCTGTCGATGAAAGCTGGGAATGTTCCTGATGACGTGCACCTCAAGATTCTAACCCATATAGAAGAACTGATTGACTTCACATTTGTGTTGAAAGTCATCATCTTGTTGTTTATGCTGTGTGCAGAAAATCTCCAAACTGATTTCATTGTGATGAAGGTATGTCTTTTCCTACCAATTCTGGCTTTGACGCCTTCACACGAGTAGTGGCGGCATGGCCGAAATTGAAACGACGCTCCCCAGATAAGTGAAGGAATTAACCTCTGTCAAATCACTCCCGTTGATGGTGATTGGTGCTGGTTGTTGTTGCGGTTCATCGGCCATCTTCACCACCTCCGTCTTTTCTATGTTCACCTCGAGTCCTGTCTTTGCTGCCTTCTTCTTCCACCAGTTTCTTGGTTTGGGCCTGCAGGTCTTCAAGTTTGTGTGACATTAAACATAAATTATGTGTGAAATCCAGATCTTCTAGAGTCTTCTTATAGGTGGTCCAGCAAATTCCTGTCTTCTCGGTCCCTATGCACAGTATGACGCACAATTCAGTCCACCAAAATTAAGAATATCATCGGTGACAATAAGCAGCCAGCTTGTCTTACTCTGGTATTCACTTCGAACGCCTCGCTGACTTTTCCGTTGTGGATCACCTGGCACGTCGCATTATTCTATAGCTGTTGGATGAGATTGATAGAGATTTGGGCACTTCACGCCATAGTGTTGACGTAGTTTCCCAATTACGTCTCAGTCAGCGTGTGGTGAGAGCAGGCTGCTAGCCGATTGGTTGGCACTAATCTACGTTAATGTCTAGGTCACTAATATGGGCCGTGAGAAAATATGAACAAGGCTGTTTCAACAACCAATCACAGCAAACTTAAATGTGGACAAATATGATTCGCAGATAGATGGCTCTACTTTCCGAGAAATATCGAAAACAACCAATCATAAGACTGTGTTTGTCTGCTTAACTTCCGAGAAACAACCAATCAGAAGACTGCCTTTTTCTGCTTGCATAAGCCTTATTAATGCACATAAAATATGTATAAATACGTGTTGATTTTCGTAATAAAACGATCTGTTGCCAGCCCTTGTCTTCTGTTGTTACATTTGGTGTCGCTGCCTCCAAAAGATGAAGATCCCGTGGCCAGCTGCGTTTGAAGAAGGAGACATACGGAGCTTCTTACGTGACTTCGAGGCCGTTGCTGAGCTGGTGGGTGTCAAGGAGCAGGCGGCGAAGGCAGTTGTCCTGGGGACGCTGTTGAGAGGCCGAGCGAAGGCTGCATATGACAGCGTAGACAGGTCAAATGGCACAGCGTCTTGGAAGAAATTGGTTGAACGACTAGTGTCCGAGTTTGACAGCGAAACAGACAGACAGCTAGCAATGCAGCAGTTCCGGTCAATGAAGCTTGGACCTGATGGAGACCCGCTAGTGTTGGCGGTGAAACTGACTAATCTACTTCGACGCGCGCTTCCCACTTTAGATGAAGAATCAGAAGCGCAGTTACTGTCTTCCCAATTCATCGAGAGTGTCCCAGACCACATTTCTCAGCGATTACAACTGGTTAACGCAACGCAGCCGATGGATATTAGTGAGCTGGCGAAGGTGACCAGACAGCTGCTGAGCACAACGGTAGCCGCTATAGACCAACCAAAACCAAACGAATATGAGCAGAAAATTGAAGCATTGCAGCGGGAAGTGGCGGCGTTAAAGTTGGCTGATAGAAAAGACCGGTGTTTTGAATGCGGTAAGCCGGGACACTGGAGAAGATACTGCCCAGAAAGGCGAAAAAGAAAAAATTTCAGACGGTATAATGCTTGTTCTTTCTTTCGTATGAACCTAGATTTAGTGGGGGCTATTGAGAAAGGGGCTCTGTATTCGAAGTTGCGAGTGAATGATCGAGAAGTAGTATGTTTGATAGATACAGGGGCGGCCGTGTCGTTAATAGATAAGAATTTATGTAAGAGTGTTAGTCCGTGTTCATTGACAGTACAAACAGTAGGCGGGTATGTGTTGCGTATCACGGGTAGATCGAACTGTACGGTCGTTGTTGGTGGCTGCGAGGTGACGTTTCCTTTCATTGTTGTACCCGAACTACAGCGAACGATATTAGGAGCGGATTTTCTGCGTGAGATTGGTGCAATAATCGACACGCAAGCGAACGTGGTGGTCACGAAATACGGGCATATCAACATGTATGAGACCAGCGAGATAGCAGCGATTAAGCTGTCGACGGTACACAATGTGACAGAGTTAATTAATAAATACGATCATCTGTTCACTGGAGATGGCGACCCATACGGTTATTGCGATAAGGTGAATCATGAAATTCCGTTAAGTGATCCGAAAGTAAGGTCATTTATAACGCGAAGAGTTCCATGTCATCTGGAAGGCGAAGTGGAGCGACAAGTGCAAGAGATGTTAAAAGATGATATTATTGAGGAAGCTGATAGCCCGTACAACTCTCCAGTGCTGTTAGTAAAAAAAGCGAATGGGAAGTATAGATTCTGTGTTGATTTTCGACAGTTAAACAGTATGACAGAGTTAAGACCGTGTGCCATGCCAACAGTGGTAGAAACTTTAGATCGCCTACAAGGTGCGAATGTGTTTTCGGTTCTCGATCTTCGCTCAGGATACTGGCAGATACCGATAAAACAAGGTGATAGAGATAAGACGGCTTTCATCGTGGGTCAGACACAATATCGATTTAAACGCATGCCGTTTGGACTAGCAGGTGCACCGTTTACGTTCAGACGACTGATGAAGCTATTACTTAGGAACTTGAAAAACGTGGAGGTTTATGGTGATGATCTCGTCATATACAGTCAAAACGAAAACGATCACGTCAACCATGTAGAAGCCGTGCTGCGACGCATCGAAGAGTTTGGACTACGCGTCAACAAAACCAAGTCTCAGATAGCCAAAAAGAATGTTACTCTGTTGGGACATAAAGTGGGAAATGGTGAGATTAAACCACTGCCGGAGAAAATTTTGACGATTAAAACGATTCCAGCCCCGAATTCAAAGAGAAAACTGAGACAATTCTTGGGTAGAGCAGCGTTTTATAGTCGCTTCGTGAAGAACTTCAATGAGATAGCAGCCCCTCTATACAGGCTACTAGGTGAGCCAAAGTTTGTTTGGTCGGAAGAATCGCAGAGGACATTCGACAGAATTAAACAGCTGCTCGACCACCAACAAATGACGCTAAAACTACCTGTGCCAGGAAGACAGTTCACAGTGTGCACAGATGCCAGTGACTACGCTATAGGTGCGGTCCTAAGACAGGACGAGGGAATCGTTGAGTATGCCAGTAGGGTTTTGACCCTCACAGAGAGAAAGTATTCAACGATAGAGAAAGAATGTTTAGCAATGGTATGGGCAGTCGACAAATGGAGACCTTATTTACTCGGCCGGCGGTTCCACATCGAAACTGATCATAAGCCGCTACAATTTTTGAAGACAGCGAGAGACCCACGGGGGAAGTTGTCACGGTGGATGTTGCGTCTTCAGGAGTACGATTTTACGATCTCACACGTTCCTGGAAGTGAAAATGTCTTGGCAGATTTGTTATCGAGACCAGAAGATGAGTCTGAGTTGCCCGAGGTCGCTTACGGAGTGCATGCAGTAGAACAAGACCCACTAAGACTTGCACGTAGGCAGAGGTTGGACGATACGCTGAATACAGTAATACAGGTGATCACCAACGGAATAGAAGTGGATCAAACTACGGCGAGTAAGGAGCTAACCACACTACTCAGACAGAGGGATCGACTCAGAGTGAATGCCTACGGACAGACCAAGGTCCCTGTTTCGAGAGTGAAGAGTTTACTTCCCGTTTGCAACAGCTGGGCATCAAGAGGATCAGAACGACCCCATACCATCCACAAACGAATGGCCTAACGGAGAGAAACAACCGTACACTGAAGGAGTGGCTGGCCTCGAAGGGCGGGAAGTGGGAAACGGAGCTTCCACTGATTTTACTAACACATCGGGCTACCACTCAGGAAACAACGAAGAAGTCACCCTTCCAACTGATGTATGGTAGAAAACCACGATTACCGGTACACAATGAGACCTGGCCCATGCACCAAAAGTGGAGTACGACGAAATTAAAAGCAGAGCGGAAAGAAGCAGTCAAGAATGTAATACGGAAGCAGCGCAGTGATGTCACGAAGTCTCAGATGAAAGAAAGGACGCAGTGCATTACCTTTGCAGTCGGGGACCAAGTGAAGTGTAGAGACAGGAAATATACAGTTGGAGGCGGGCTAGGTTCACGGAAACTCCTTCCAAAGTGGGAAGGACCATACACAATCACAAAAAGGCGGGGTCAAGTATATACCATCCGAAGAGGTGATAAACAGAAACGAGTTAACGCCAGTCAGCTCCAAAGATGGGTACAGTGGGACAAGCTGGTCAGTAACAATCCTCAACTAGAGGATGTAGCACCCAGAAGGTCGGAACGTCTGCGCACGAAGCTATTTGACGGGGGGACGAGTGTGGTGAGAGCAGGCTGCTAGCCGATTGGTTGGCACTAATCTACGTTAATGTCTAGGTCACTAATATGGGCCGTGAGAAAATATGAACAAGGCTGTTTCAACAACCAATCACAGTAAACTTAAACGTGGACAAATATGATTCGCAGATAGATGGCTCTACTTTCCGAGAAATATCGAAAACAACCAATCATAAGACTGTGTTTGTCTGCTTAACTTCCGAGAAACAACCAATCAGAAGACTGCCTTTTTCTGCTTGCATAAGCCTTATTAATGCACATAAAGTATGTATAAATACGTGTTGATTTTCGTAATAAAACGATCTGTTGCCAGCCCTTGTCTTCTGTTGTTACAAGCGCTGTCGAAGGCCTTTTCGAAGTAGATGAAGTTGAGGTAGAGGTTTGACTGCCATCTTATGATCTGTTCGATGACGATGCGTAGAGTTGCAATTTGATCAGCACATGAATTGCCTTTTCTGAATCCAGCTTGTTACTGTTGGCGGAGTTCTGTATCCAGTGGATCCTTTATTCTCCAGGGTGATGCGACTTAGTATTTTACTTGGCGTGTACAAGAGTATGATTCCACAATAGTTCTTGCAGATGCCTACATCGCCCTTGTTTCATAGTTCGACAAGGTTGCCTTGTAGTAGCCTATTAGTAGGCACCTTTTTTCTTTCCAAACGATTTGTAACAGCGACGTGACCATATCCGCTTCATTTTCTGGTTTGTTTCCAGTGCTTTATGAAGAATTTCGTCCAGTTTTGCTGCTTTCATGGACTTCAGTAGCTTGGTTGCATTCAAGACTTCTGTTTTCATTGGAATATCGGTGTCCAATGTCGGTTCCGCTCTTGCTGTTGGTGGTATTTTTGAACAACTTGTAGGTGACGGTCGATTCATGAGTCCTTTGAAGTGATCAGCCCATTGTTTGATTTGTCACTGCTCTTTGGTAATCAAATTTCCCTCTTATTGGTTTCGTCGTGTGAGTTGATCTCTTCCTAGATAGAGACCTGGATGTCTGATCTAGTGTTCTGAAGTGTCTTTTACCTGTGGCCTGCTCTGCTTTACTTGCCAATGTCCGGAGAATTTCTTCTGTCTTTCGCAGCACTTTTTATCGTGACAGATGTTGACGAGGAATTCAATTATAGTGCTTCTGATTGCATCAGTGCAGCCTTTTTGGAGCCAATATGGACAGTGTTTCCTAACGGAATCTGTTAGTGATGAGCAATGAAGGAGCTTCGCTAGTTTCCGATCAAATATCCACTATAGTAGAATATTTTCCAATGACATTATATCAATTTATTACTTTTGTACTACACCTCAGCATCAATATGAAATTGTAAACGGCTTCAACAAAATTGAAAGAAGTCAGGGTGTTGCAAGTTACTAAAAACTGAAAAACAACTAAAAGTAGTGCATCACGAGCAACATATAGCTACTTAGAAAAATATTTGCCAAACATAAGATGGTTGTTTACGAGTGAAGAAGAACAAAACTTCAGAGGATACCACAAGGGACTATGATCGTTAATGTCAATAAAATCAGATGACAAGTCAGAGAAACAGCTGGTGAACAAGTAAAAATGTGTTAAATAAAAAATGAATAACTTTCGTAAATTAATTTCTAAAAATTTAATTCAATCAACGTGTCGATTACAATGACTAATGCACGTAAGAATACAGTTAAGTTGCTTTGCCTTTGCTGAGCATAAACACAGCTTGTCGTAACAGGAAAACTATTTTTTATGCGTAAATGATGATGAATGCACGCACTTATATAACACTTTTGCTTACCTCTGTACTGACTGGACGTAATTCAACTAGCGATTCAAGATGAGAAACTATATCTTTAAGTTCTTGTTTCTTACGCTGTGATTCAGTAGGCACCGACTGAATTCGGTTGTCAATCTATACCATAAGAAAATATAAAGAATCAACACGTTAGTGTACAAAGATACAGAGAACTAAATATTAACTACAGATTATGTACATAATTGTTAAAAGAAAATTAAGAAGAAATTTGATATGTAGACAGATAAAAAATGGATTATCCTTTATTGGTGATATGGTGGTCAGTGTCTAGTCTGGGAACAAACCAACCAGAATTAGGCCCACGTAAAATACCGCCCACTATTTTATTGATCATGACTATAGATTAATTGACATAATCTTGGTGATTTTTTGAATCATAAATTACTGTGTACAATACACTGTTTCTGATACGAAAACATAAAATTGGTGACATCTTAACAAAATCCCTCTTATAACATAGAGAATCTCGCTAAAACTTTTCTACTATATATTCACTTTGGTTTTTCCAGCGTTACTTTTCCTTGAGTTTGGCTTAAGAAACAAAAAAAGCTAAACATATTTAAACTTAGACTGTTTTGAATAATAAAAGGAAACATTAAAAACGTGGTTGAGATACAGATGGTAAAGAATGCAGAAATGAGTTCAGTTAGACACAATATTAGAAAACAGAACCATCACCAAGTAGTTTCCACTGGCTTTGATCATTATTCAGAATACATAAGCGAAATTATCACAGCGTACCAAACTAACATGACTTCAGAGCTGTCTATTGCTTACCTAGATATTCTAGCTTTTAATAGCTAATCATAGAAGTAGAATATAATACAATCTATCTAAGCTTGAGTAACCCAGTCAAACGTTTTCCCAAATCAACTTAATTGTGTATTAAATACGAGATAGAGATCGGTAGGACAGAATCCGGGACTCAAAGGAAATGGGATGACTACAACTTTTATGGGGTGAAGCTGAACACTAATTCTAAAGCAAGACTTACAGTCGGAGCTGATCCTATCCCAGCAGATCTGGTTACCATACTCTACTGATGGACGTGTTGTTCCTAACTACTCATATCAAACAGTAGAATATACCAACAGGCTATTTCGGCTGAAATTTTAATTTAGAAAGTCTGAAGTACTTTCTATAAACTGACTGTAGCGTCCCGGAAAACTTGTTTTGCTTTTATCCCTCTTTCTTCAATCCAATATAATATAAGTTAAATTTATCTCATTTAGAGATAAATTACGTCACGGTTTTCGAGAACATTACAAAGATACTGTTACCTTTCGCTTTCATAATACTTACTTCACTTAACAACTCATTACGTTCAGTGTCACTATCAAAACATCGATGACAAACTGGACAGTCGGAATCCATACGACATAATCGATCACGGAATTTACGCCATAAAAATACACTTCCTTGTTCATTCGCGCATTCCCTGGAAAAGTTAAAGCAATATTTAAAATAATTAGTGCCTTTTATAAATTTGGATTGTATTATTAGAAGACGAAGATTATCTGAAAAATGTGATGTATTTGCGCAATACATTTCGGACAGTCCGATCGCACACTTACTTATCAAGTTAGTTAATGTGAAAAATAAAGGCCAATTAAAATAAACCAAGCGATAAGGGATCTAAGAGTAAGAACAATTAACACTACTTCTCGTTATGTAATCAAATGAGGATTCCCAAAGTAAGTTAAGAGTAATGGCGAATAGTTCTTGTTTTACTTCGAAGTGGCAATTCACTGCTTACTTACGGGATCCAGGTCGCCAGAAATCCACCTACCATATTTGAACGTTTCGCATTTCGAAACTGGTCCAGATACAGTTACTTTATATCATGTTTTTTAAGATCTTACAACCCTTCAGTTATGGAAATAATGACTTCAAGAAACGTTTATCTTAAACACAGTAAAATTATGCTAGAGGCAGTGATGACATCCAATTATTGATGTTCGTGTTAGATTATTAATTCTTGCATATTCTGTGGCGGATGTTCATGAAACTCAATATACGAAATTCCTACTACTTCCAGATAATTTGTTATATCTTAACTGAATTCTACTAAGCTCAAGTTTTTAGCAACTTATACAGTTACACATGGCTACGAAAACTCCTTCCCTGCTTTTGATTTGCTGAATACAAATGATACTACTAATGTGGTATATGAACTGTTTATTTCGACAACACCAATGAAAAAGAACAAACTGCTGATTAATTAATGCTACTTTTATCAGTAATCTGAGTTAATAACAATTATTGAAGACAACGTATTTCAAAATGGTATTCATTAAGCAAAAAAATAATAACACATTTAAAAAGAAAACTCACTCTTCCAATAAAGCACGTCTTTGTTGAAGATTAGTCACAGTTTGTTCTAGTTCATCAGCGCCAGGTACAGACAATAATTTTTCTTCTAATACTTTTAATTGATCACGTTTTTCTTGAAGATGATTTCTACAACGTATCACAAAGATTTCAACTAAATGCAACGTATAACTGTCACAGAAAGAAGGTATAGACATACAAAACAAAAAGTAATGTAACAAAGCTTTAAAAGTACTTAAATAAACAACAGTTACCAAATTAGGGAATATCAGAAAGATTCTAATATCTTTGTGACACAAAAAAACATACTAGTATGTCTACATTTATGTGTACCTTGTGAATTTTGAACTAGCTTCAAGAGATGAACGTTCTTGTTCAAGTTTAGCCAATTGTTTTCGTGTCTCTCTAGTTGACCGTTCTATTTCATTGAGTCGTTCAGAAAATACATTTCTCAAACGCGTTTTATTGTTGAGAAATGATCTAAGATTATCAATAACAGCGAGTTCTTGAAGTGATTTTTCTGTGGTTACTGCAGGTATCCCAGAGCCAGCGAATATCTGTTCTAATGCTTCGGAATGACGACTGTATCTAAATATTGGGCAGGAATAGATCAGATACATGAAGATATCTTTATTATTTGAGGAAAAAGAAGACAGAGCACAAAAAAAGGTAACAATGTGCTGCAACTCACATTTTACGGATGCTTTCAAGTTTATTTGCACGTTCTTTCAGCATTGACTCAAATGCACGATACTTAATGACATTGTTTTGATATGTAGCGATTCTGTCACTGAGATTCAATCAAAAAATGTATTGATTTAGTGGGAGGTGTAGTCACTCCAGAAGCAAAATAAGAAATAAAAACAGTCACATTTCAAATTAAAAGTTGTACAAATAATGAGGTGATTTCTCCTTAGGAAATAATAAGCACAACATTCCACTCATCGAAAACTGTGCATCCTGCAGTACCGACGACTGAAACAAAACATTATTTTCAAGGAACAACTCAATCACTATAAAAAAAGCTATACAGAACTAAAACACTTACAGGCCGAAATTAGTAAGTTCTTGGCACTTTCAATTTTAACCAACACAATTATGACGCTGAAAGTTGAGCTTCAATGTATAAAAGAATAATTATTCCCTCACATCCCCAGTGCAATATAAGGTTTTAACAGCACATCTCCATTTCAACCCGTTCTCTGCAGTCCTCTTTAGCTGGTACTAGGATTCCCTATAAGCTTTCATTTCCTCACACGATTTCCTCCATGTCATCCTCGGACACCCGACTCGTCGTCTGATGTTCGAGTTCCACTCCGTGACCTGGCTCGTGATGTCATTCAATGACCTCCTCCTCAGCATGTGTCCTATTCGTCCCTATTCCCTTTGGCATGTTTGTTGAGCCGTAGGGTCTTGGTTGGTTTGTTGCTAGAGCCCCTTTCTGCTAGCTCCTTCTGGCCACCTGATTTCCAACACGGAGCGAAGACAGCTGTTGACAAAAGCCTGAAGCCTGTTCGAAATGCTTGAAGTGGACAGAAGGATGATTCCACTTTAGTTTTAATGTTGGCTTAAGTCGTGCTTCCTTGGTAGTTGGATAAGATGCCCATTCTTCCAATCCAGAGGTACATTTTCTTCTTCCCAAACACTGCAACGGTGGTGTGACGATGTCTGTTGAGGCCTCTGGATTCGTTTCCAGTGCTTCCCAAGGAGCCCCGTCCGGTCCTGCTGCCTTTCCAGCCTTCAGTAACCTTATGGTATTCAAAACCTCTGTCTTTGTTGGAAGATTAGTGTCCATTGACAGTTCTGTGGAGGTATTTCTGAACGAGTTGCAGATGGTGATCAGCTCAAGATTCCTTTGAAGTGACCAGCCTAGCGTCACTTTTGTTCTCCTGCTTTAGTAATTAGGTTCTCTTCACTATCTTTCACTAGTTCCATCTGTGTTAGTCTCGTTCCGGATAGCGACCTGGTTATCTGGAAAAATGTTCTGGGGTCCCTCTTACCTGCTGCTCCAGTTTCCAGTGTATCGTAGAATTAATTATCTTCTATCTTTACAAACACTCTTCCTCATTTCTTTATTCAGTGCGTTGCACAGTGAACTCAGCTGCTCTTTTAGTTGCCCATCTCAGTACTGGTTTGTCTTCGGTTGACCATCCCCCTCTTCTCTATCAACTTTCACATGTTTGTGCAGGGCCATTCCTTGTCTTGCCTCTCCTTCCTTCCCAAAATGAATATATATTTTTCTTCCAACATCACTTTCAGAGAGTTCAAGTGCTCTTCCACACAGGTTTCCTCGGAGATGCCACATAATGTCTCTGATTTCGCTCTGATTGTGGTGGTGTGATACAGACAATGTGTACCAACGGAATGTTGTTCTCACATGTTCCCACAGCTCAATTCGACATTAACAACAGAATATGATATATCTATTTGATGTTAGAGGCAGAATACTTTTCCACAGTTCAATACTGGATTAGTTACAGATTGGTTATTATGTATATTTGAACATTCTATTTCTTGTCGTTTGATATAAACCGAAATCACACGCTCAGTGATTGGTTAAGGAATATAAACTATATATATATGAACAGCGGTTCGATTAGTGAAAAATATACTTTGGCTTCGGTGTCTTGCCTTCTGTTGTTACATGATGACTGCGGTAGTCGCCTCATTCTTCAATTTACGGGTCTTACACGTGAATTGTAGTCTGTCACCAGCTTCTTTGAAGACCTCCAACGTGAATATGAAGGTCAATTGCACCAGATAAAGATTTGAGTTCACATCTGCTCCTCTTCTCTATTTCGCGTCCAGCAGGTTGCGTCTCCACTTTCTTTAGCAGCATTGAGATGAAGTCTATGTGATTTTCTGTGTGTCCATCTGGTGAAGCCCATGTCGCTTTGTGTATGCCCTTGTGCTTGTACACACTGTCTCCAACCACCAAGTCATTGAAAGCACAGAAGTCTGCGAAGAGTTCTCCATTGTCATTCATTTCGCCGACAGCCTTCTGATAGGATCCCACATATTTTGGTATTGACTGTTTAATCTTGCATATATGGTATGTTATCACTCTCACACATTTTGGTATTTACTGTTAATCTTGTATATACGGTATATTATCATTCTCACACATTTTGGTTGTGACTGTTAATCTTGTATATATGGTATATTATCATTCTCACACATTTTGGTAGTGACTGTTAATCTTGCACATATGGTATATTATCATCTCTCACGCACTTTGTTATTGGCTATTAAGATCAATTATTTCAAATGCTGTTAGCTGTCCATATTGTTGTAAAATGTATAAATACCATGGCTTTCTTTGTCGTTGTTGCACTTCAATACACAGTCACAGTCCAGCCTTTGTCTTTTGATATTTGCGTGCTTTACTAAATCGGAAGGTACGACAAGCAGATAGGCAGATTAGTTCAGGCGCAGACAGAGCAAGGTGAAAACGTCTTCGTTCAATTCCCTACAGTTATAACAAATTGGCGACGGGGGTTTACCTTAATTCATTGCAGTCATAGCAAGCAAACGACGACAGTTTTTATTCTGTTCAGCGCAGCTATATAACATTTTTGACTGTGTTAATTACAACCCAATTACAATGTCTATCTCTCTGGACGATCTCAAATCTATCTTGCAGCAGCAGCAGGTTCAGAATGAAGCAGCTCAACTAAAATTAAGCGAAGCTCTCACTCAGAAGCTGTCCATTCAAGTTCCATCAACATCTCATTCTGACAAATATGAAAGCATCTCAAATTCCATCAGTGAGTTCAACTACGACCCAATATCTGGTCTCGTATTTGATGCATGGTTCAATCGTTACGAAGACGTCTTCCGTATTGAATGCTACATGTTTGATGATGCTGCCAAAGTCCGATTGTTACTAAGAAAACTTGGTACTGTTGAGCACAACAGATATGTTAACTTCATTCTGCCTAAGAACCCACGTGAGTTATCATTCGATGAGACAGTCACCGTTTTATCACAAATCTTTGGTGAACAGTCATCCATGTTTAATATTCGGTATCAATGTTTTCAGTTGACAAAAATGCCTTCCGATGATTATGTGACTTACGCTGGCAAAGTGAACAAGGAATGTGAAAGGTTCAAACCACACGAAATGACATCAGATCAGTTCAAGTGTTTGATTTTTATTTGTGGGTTGAAGAACCCAGAAGATACTGACATACGAACTCGACTTCTGTCACTCGTGGAACAAGACCCGAAAATGACTTTACAAATGGTGACAGCAGAATGCCTACGTTTAATCAACTTGAAGCACGATACTGCTATGGTGGAGTGCAAACGACAGTCGTCTGAATTTGGTTCAATTAACACAGTGAAAAGTCCTCCGATCACCGTTAAGCACACAGCACGTCAGTCTCAGAATTCAGCTAAACCTCCTTCAGTGTGCTGGCACTGTGGTTCGTGGCATTTTGTCAAGTTCTGTCCTTTCAAGAAGCATAAATGCCGTAATTGTCACCGTTTTGGACATAAGGAGGGTTACTGTCCACCGCAGAAAAATCCTTCGGTGAGGAACAGAAGTAGTCGTTTCGAGCCGAAACAATCTCCTCGAGTACAGACCATTTTCACAACTTCCAAAGTCGATTTCGCCAGCAAACGTAAGTACATTTTACTAGGTATTAATGGCAAACGTATTCGTCTTCAGTTGGATACGGCATCAGATATCACCGTAATTTCCCGAACTACGTGGCGCAAACCTGGTTGCCCACAGATTCTGCCGACCGAGCATTTCGCCAAGAATGTCTCTGGAGATATACTGAAACTCGTGGGTGAGATAAATTGCCAGGTTCAGTTTGGTGAGCATCACTTCAATGGTGTATGTTACGTTACAAACTACCATGATTTGAATTTGCTTGGTCTTGACTGGTTAGACAAGCTCCATATCTTTAATGTACCATTAAATTCAGTATGCTCTAATGTTTCGTCTTCACCACACAACGTTGTTCCCGGAGATGTATCTGATCAATCTCTCTTGCAACGCCGTCGTCAAAAGCACGCTTCTGTCTTCCAGGAAAAACTTGGTTGCTGCAAACTGTTTGGCATCCAGCATATTCGTAGCCCCCCGTATCATCCCCAATCGAATGGACAGACTGAACGTTTCGTCGACAACTTTAAGCGTGCTTATGCAAAAGCGAAGGGGGAGGGAACAACAGAAGAAATTTTGGATAAATTCTTGCTGCATTATCGTACGAATGAAAAAGGACAGTTATGTGTCAGACACACAGATCACGCTCTATCCAGTACCACGCAAAGGTCAACTCGACAAAGAAGAGCTCCGAAACCTTTTCAAATAGATCCAAAAAGCAAGTCCTACACTCTTTACGGGGAGAGGTGATAGGATCCCACATATTTTGGTATTGACTGTTTAATCTTGCATATATGGTATGTTATCACTCTCACACATTTTGGTATTTACTGTTAATCTTGTATATACGGTATATTATCATTCTCACACATTTTGGTTGTGACTGTTAATCTTGTATATATGGTATATTATCATTCTCACACATTTTGGTAGTGACTGTTAATCTTGCACATATGGTATATTATCATCTCTCACGCACTTTGTTATTGGCTATTAAGATCAATTATTTCAAATGCTGTTAGCTGTCCATATTGTTGTAAAATGTATAAATACCATGGCTTTCTTTGTCGTTGTTGCACTTCAATACACAGTCACAGTCCAGCCTTTGTCTTTTGATATTTGCGTGCTTTACTAAATCGGAAGGTACGACAAGCAGATAGGCAGATTAGTTCAGGCGCAGACAGAGCAAGGTGAAAACGTCTTCGTTCAATTTCCTACAGTTATAACACTTTCCAACCCACGACGAATTCTCCTCCTGTGTTGTCTCTCGTTTGCATTGATATCACTCATCAGGATTTTGATTGTGCTATTGGAGTTGTTATGCATTACTGTTTGCAGTTGTCTGTAGAAATCATCCTTCTCTTGTTGTCGTAGGCGCGTAGCATTACATGATCATTGTAACTTTGCTTCCTTTTGTGTTGAATCTCGCCGTCATCATCCTGTAGGAGACTGGTTCCCGCTGCATAAGGGCTTTGGATGCTGTTGTTAACATTACGATAACCACCCCTTCAGTGTAATCGTGGTTGCCATCTGGGTGACCGGAGTAGATTATTGACTCTAGTTAACCATTTTGAGACTCCAAGCCCTTCGTATCTGCTGTCACAGATTACTAGTACTTCTATACCGTATCCTTCTCACCTCTTTGACAAACAGAGCAGCCTTCTAAGTCATCTCCTAACATTGTGCTGACATTCAATGTTCCACTGTGTATTTCCACTTTTCTCAAAAGATGACTGACTGCCCCCCCCCCCAGACTGCGTCATTCCGTCTCTCGGACTGCAATGAAGTATGGGTTAATTTTTTATATTTATTCTGTGAGTTGAAGTTTCCGTGGCAACTGGAATTATTTTCTGGGTTAGGCTGATCAGCCCAACGCCTCATTTTCCCTCTCTCATGGACATAGGACCGGTTAGCTTATCGGTGAAGTAATAATATTCTTCTTTTCTTTTCCTTCACGTTTCTAGTGGAACATAGAGCTAGTAGCTAGTGGCTTGAAGTTTCTGTACCAGTGTTTAATTTTACAGGATGGGGTTGCTAGCCTCATGCATAACCTTTCCTCCTTATCAGCATTATTACTGGCGTAGCGAGGTTAAGGAGTACGTTGGCCAGTGGTCGAACCCCGGACCATGCGCATGGTCGGCGAGCGTCCTAACCGCTGTGTCACCGACGCACGCAATAATATATGGAAGGTTGATTATTTTAGAGCCATTTCTCCAATGTCATGTTTTTTTAAATTTGTGGCTTCTATTCCGCTACCTTCAAGAATTCCCTAGCGATTTCTGTTGTTTGTCTACTGTTAAATGTCATAACAGTGATGTTATTTGATTTATTTGACCAGTCAGAATTTTTCAAGTAATCGAATCGCGTCATCTCTGGAATCAAAATCATCATCCTAGTCTTAAATTGAAGATCATGGTATATGAATAATGAGATTAGTCATCTACTATTTGCATATGACCATAGAGTCATGATGCGAAGTTTCTCATAGATAAATAGCAATCATTGAGCATTTCACGTACTAACATTTACCATGTTAATATAATATTTTTGCGAATTTACTTCTAAGAATCTTGTGAAATTGAACGTGCTCATTTAACGGATGCTATCGCAAACCTATTGATGAATGTACATGATGAATTTAAAGGTAAGAGTTGGGATGATTGATATGTCACTCTGTTGTGTATTTGTTTGCTTTTACATTGCTTTCAGGTTCTTTAATTTTTATTATTGCCTACTGTCATTACTACTACTCTTATTATCAACATTAATCATTTAGATATTAGTTCTTAGGCTTGCATCTTATAAAAGGGCCGACGTAATACACGACAGTCGTAAGAGTATCAGTCTGCTTCGCAGGCTGGTTTTCGTTTAGAACGTGGATGCATTGATCATGTGTTCACCCTTCGTCAGTTGTTGGAACACCGCCACACGTATTGCAGGCCAACGATCGTTGTGTTTCTTGATATTAGGGCTGTCTTCGATTCGTTGGACAGAACTGTGCTCTGCAACTGTCTGTTAGAGACAAGTGTACCTGAGAAATTTGTTAACATCCTGAAAGCCCTATACAGAAACACCTCACGTAGAGTGAGGGCATACAACCAACTATCATCACTGTTCCCAACCAACAGTGGGGTTAGACAGGGTTGCCCAATCTCTCCATTTCTCTTTAACTTTGCCATCGATGACATTCTGGAGTCAGCTCTGAAGGATGTGCGTGAAGGTGGTGTAGATCTGCTACCTGGAGATAAACTTTTAGACCTCGAGTGTGCAGATGATATCGTCTTAATATGCGATAGCATCCAGGTTGCCCAAATCCTACTTAATCAGTTGGCGATCAGTATTTGTAAGTGTAGTATGTGCTTTGCACCGTCTAAGTGCAAAGTCTGGGAATCAGAGACAGTACCATTAGACTGGGGTAAGTCACTTATTATACCGATATTCAAGAAGGGAAACAAGTCCTCGTGTGATAATCATAGGGGGATCAGCCTAACGAACATAGTCTCTAAAATCCTAGGCTCAGTAATCATGCATAGACTAAGCAGAACTCGGGAGGAACAGACAAGGGAAAATCAAACAGGCTTTAGACCAGGTAGAGGGTGCATAGATCATATCTTCACTCTTCGACAGATTCTAGAACACAGACACACTTTTCGGCGTCCAACAATTGCCATATTTCTTGACTTGAAGGCGGCCTTCGACTCAGTGGATCGAAAGGTACTATGGCAATGTCTGACTGTGAAGGGAGTGCCAAGAAAGTACATTGCACTAATCAAGGCACTCTATTCAAACTCACGTAGTCGTGTAAGGGCTTATGGGGAATTGTCATCTGAATTAGTAACAACCAGTGGTGTCCGACAGGGATGTCCACTTTCCCCATTTCTGTTTAACTTCATCATAGATATGCTAATGGAAGTATCCTTAACTGAACGTAGTGACTTTGGAATCGACTTGTTACCAGGGAATAATCTAATGGACTTAGAATATGCAGATGACATAGTCCTGTAAGGGGAGGATGCTGACAAAATGCAGAGTCTTCTGAACACCTTGAGCAGCAATCTTCGTATGTTTGGCATGCGATTCGCCCCTGCAAAATGTAAGATGCTGCTACAGGACTGGACGACGTCAACCCCTAACTTAGTGATAGGGAGTGAAGTGATAGAACATGTTGACCACTTCACCTACTTGGGAAGTTGTATTAGCACCAACGGACTGATTGGCGATGAAATCTCAGCACGGATCCGAAAAGCTCGAGCTGCTTTAGCTGACTTACACCATCTCTGGCGTAGGCGTGACATCCGGTTATCAACCAAGGGACGTGTGTACTGCTCATCAGTTCGCTCCGTCCTTCTCTATGGCTCTGAAACATGGCCAATACGCGTTGAAGACATGAAAAGGTTGACTGCTTTCGATCATAGATGTCTGCGATCTCTGTCTCACGTTAGGTGGTTTCACAAGGTAAGTAATGTTGACGTTAGGCGTAGAGTGTTGGGCAAACAGGGAAAATCAATCGACGAGGTTATAAAGTTACATAGACTAAGATGGCTAGGTCACGTGGTGCGCATGCCTAACCACCGCCTCCCCCGACGGGCATTGTTAGCTGATATAGGTTCAGGTTGGAAAAGAGCCAGTGGTGGCCAAACAAAAACATGGCATCAATCCATGAAATCCTTGACAGTTAAACTGAGTCAGGTAGGGAGATGCAGACTCCCGGGTTGGGGCCCTCGGGACTCTAGGAATCAATGGCTGGAGACAATAGGTGACATGGCTCAAAATCGTTGTCAATGGCGCAGATGTATTCAGTCTCTGTAATCTTTCATATTCCTTTCTACCATTACCCATTCTGTTTCACTCTTATATTTGTCAAACTCTATTAATTCTCTTCACTCATCTTCTTGTCTACCTCTGTGTGCTATTTGGAAGGTGGCAACTCGAACTGGTGCACTTCGGTGCCAAGTTCTATGTTGAATCCAGACAGACAGAAGTGCAAAGTACTGTTAGAAGATTGGCAGAAGCCTGTACCTGCACTCACTCTTGCGGGTGAACCGCTTGAAGTCGTTGATAAGTTTGTGTATCTGGGAGGGTTGTGCGAGTGCTAGCAGAGAGGTGACAGATGAGATTTTCAACCGGACAACGAAGGTTAGGGGGGCATACATCAACCTGAGCCACCTCTAAAACCGTGGCGACGTTAGCCTGACCGTCTAAAATCGGGTAAAGAATAATTCGGTGCATGCTTTCTTGCTCAGCGCCTGTGAAACCTGGCCTCTCCGAGCTGAGGATGTGCGGCGACTCTGCGTGTTCGATCATCGCTGTCTCCGCAGGATTGCTTGCGTTCGATGGCATCATCGCGTGAGTAATTCTGAGGTTCGACGGCGTTTGTTTGAACAAAGTGGAGATCACCATTCATTGAGTGTAGTCATCTGGAAGCACCGGCTCCGGTGGCTTGGACATCTGCTGCGAATGTCATCCTAGAGGCTTCCGCACTGGTCTCTGTTCGCTAGCCCTGGGACGGGATGGAAAAGGCGGAGGGGTGGTCAGTTCATGACGTGGTGTCGTCGGATGAAGGATTTGTGTGCTAGATTAGCATCGGTTGGTGTGTCACGACTCCCTGGTTGGGGTCTACGAGACAGCTCGAAACGTTATCGCATATGGCCAAGAATCTTAATCAATGGCAAACGTGTTGCAATTTCCCTCATTCTTCCCTTCCCGATGATAGCTAACGAATACTGTTTGAACTTGTTAAGCATGACTGTTTTCCTTCCAGATGAAGTTCTTTATCCGTTCTCTACTAATATTTTTTACTTTTAATCTATGTAGTTTTATGATTATTATGTGGCTCATCTTCTTGGTGCCATATTGTACTAATTTCCCCTTGTTTAAATAATAATATAATCAATAAAGTCACTTAGCATAATGTTCACATTGTTCAGTCAAAATCAAAAGTGAACAAAAACGGATGACAACTATGCCAGTCTAAATCAAAGCGACCTAATTTCAACATTAGCCTTCCAAATACCAGTTAAAGTAAATTATATAATATTATATATATATATATATATATATATATATATATATATATATATATATATATATAGAGAGAGAGAGAGAGAGAGAGAGAGAGATCCACCTACTCTAAGGAACTAATAGAGCTTTCTATTCTTCTCTTTTCTGCGAAGGATTCTGTTATAAAGTGATGTAAACTGTCCAACTCATCATCAATATCTAAATCATTGACGGCGATTTCCTAAAATAAAATAAATAAGAACAATGAGATATTATTTACCTGTCAATACAGAACATATTGAAATAAACGATGAGAATATTTTTTAGGATAATGTTCAGAGGAAGTGGTTTTATAAGCACTCTCATATAACCAAGTTTTGCAATAAGTAGATGACAATAGATTTACGTTATTTGATATTGGACATTTCGTCAATTGAGTATTTACACATGTAGTGTAACAGATGAGAAAGAAACAGCATTAAAACATATTTTATATACCGGGTAAAAAACACGCGAAAACAAGTTTGCAGTTATTTATTATACAGAAAATTATACAGAAAACTAAAACACCTAACGGAATCCTGTGATCACTCCATCAACTCTGCTATCCAATTCCTAGAGAAAATCAGAGACATCCAAATAGATGAACAAGAAATAATGGTATCCTTCGACGTGACAGCATTATATACCTCTATCGGACAAAAACTAGCAAAAGAAACCATGGAGCAATTACTTAGCAACGACGAACAACTTCAACAACAATCAAAAATACAACACACAAGCTGGATGGAATGCATAAATCTATGCCTAACAACATACTTCCAATTCAACGGCCAAATATATGAACAAGTCAAAGGAACACCCATGGGATCGCCAATATCAGGTTTGATTGCAGAAGCAGTGATGCAAAGACTCGAAAACATAATTCTACCAAAGATCAAACCCAAGATTTGGATACGCTACGTCGACGACACATTTGTAATAATCAAAAGAAACGAATTAGACAAAACTCACAACTTAATAAACAACGTCTTCAACGACATCAAATTCACAAGAGAAGAGGAATCCGAGAACAAAATACCATTTTTGGACGTCTTAGTCAGGCGAACAACTACAGGAGAATTAGAAACTCAAGTTTATAGGAAATCAACTCACACAGACCAAATACTGAATTACAACAGCAACAACCCAATAGCACACAAAAAGAACTGCATACAAACACTATTCAAGAGAGCTAGGACTCACTGCAGCACTCCCACCTTAAGAAAAATTGAAGAAAAGTATCTCATGGACGTCTTCCAAAAGAATGGATATCCCCGGAATTTCATCAAGAGACATATACCCCCAAGCCAACCTACCAAAACAAAAGCCACCAAGGAAAACACAAAGAAAATCGCCTTACCATATATAAAGGATATCTCAGAAATCACTAAAAGACTCTTCAAACCTTTAGGAATTGACGTCGTACACAAACCAACAAAGTCGCTGCACTCAATTCTATGTCAACCAAAAGACTCAACAGCAAAAGAAGACAAAACCAACATCATCTACAAAATAAACTGTAACAACTGTGAAAAACACTACATCGGCCAAAGTGGACGTCCCCTTCGTCTTCGTATCCACGAACATAAGCTAGCCGTCAAAAGACATGATATACACTCCCTCATTTCACTACACACAGACAACCACGGACATCAATTCGACTGGGACAACGTTCAAATATTAGACAAAGGAAATAACAAGAATGCTAGAGAATTTTTAGAAGCTTGGCATTCCAGTGAATCATCAATCAATAGACACATCGAGATAGACAAAATTTATCAACCAATAAGAAAGAAACTTCACACACGATTGGCCAAAGTTCAAGTCACAGAAACAATCAGTTCCAACACAAGTAACCTAGATGGTGTGAAAACATACATAAACAACCAATCACGTCCAAGGTCACCAGGAGGAATGATTAATAAACTCGTGGAGAAACCTAAAAGCTCACTTCAATTTGAAGTATGCGCTGAAGATGTCACCCAGTAAGGTGATGAAAGCTTCGCAAACTAACTATCCAGCTCAGAGAACAAAACCACATCAAAATTTTAGCTTTATTAAAAAATATTGCCACTGAGCTAAACGAAGTTTCTAAATATGTAATTTCAATATAAGTGCATAATAAGGTTTCTTCTTGAATTGAAGTGCAATTTCTTGGCTAAAATGCTTCACAATGATACCAGCTTTGAAACTTCAATATAGCGACAGTTATATATATATATATATATATATATATATATATATATATATATAATGCGTCGGTGGCACAGTGGTTAGGACTCTCGCCGATCATACACATAGTCCGAGGTTCGATCACTTGCCGACGTACACCTGATATCTGTGGTTGGTCTGCGAAATTTGGGCTACCGATATCCATGCTGATAATTCCATAGTTGTACCAAAAATACAGTGTGGAATCAAGTTGTAAATCAAAAAATGAATAAATAAAAAAAAATTAAAAAAATACATATATAATTCAAATAAAGGAGATTACCGTATGACATCACTTAATTGGCGCGTCGGTGGCACAGCGGTTAGGACGCTCGCAGACCATGCACATGGTCCGGGGTTCGATCCCCGGCCGACGCACTCCTTTACCTCGCTAAACCAAAAATAATGCTGGTAAAGAGGAAAGGTTGGGCATGGGGCTAGCAACCCCATCCTGTAAAAACTAAACACTGGTACAGAAACTTCAAGCCTCTAGCTTGGAGCCCTATGTTCCACTGGGAACTTGAAGGAAAAATTATTTATTTATTATTATTATCACTTAATGGAGATTAATAGAATGGTAAATTGAACAAATGTTCAATATTTGAGCACAGCTAAGCGAATGTTGTAACTTCAACCATAACCTGTTATTTATCCTAAAAATGTCTGGTGGATTCAGCGTATATTTAGAATGACTATAATTGTAAAGCAATGTGGAGTTGAAAAATACCAAGAATCAAATTAATGTAACACACACACATCATTTTATGATTAACAACTTACAGCTTTGTGAAATTCATCCTTGATTTCTTCAAGACGTTTATTTAAAGTGTGTTCATTTTCCAAGCGTTTTTTGACGACGGTCAGTTCATCATTGTTTTGATTCTAATTTGTGAAAACATTTTATCAAGACACTTAAAAATAGAATTTCATATGATCGAATTGTGATAAAAAGCAACTATGTAAACAGGCGATACTACTTAATGAGCTTTAATTACTAGAAGTTACTCAAAAAGTAGCATAGTCTAATGTCAAAAACTGAAGTAACAATTATATATTCAAGTTAGTTTGCAACATATTAGTTAGATGCAGTAGATATGACATATATTAAAGATGAGAAAAATGAAGGTGTAATCTTTCATGTGTGAAAGTGGTACATACAATGGAAAATATTGTATTCCGACGCAAAACCTAATGGCTATTCGTCGACTACCAACTAAAATACTGCAAAGCGAAACAACAAAACAGTCTTACTCAAGAGTTGTTTGATATTTCGACAATAAGAAACCGGTTGTGAAAATATACATAACATACAACCTTGTGTAAAGACTAGAACACTGAATCGACACTCAATGGGAAATCAGAAGTAAAACAAAACAGTAAAATCAAAATGTAAGCTATAGAATAAAAAAGGTAGAAAAAGATATTTCCAGTTGTAAGTGGAAAGTAAGTCTACAAATGAAACATTACGAATTGTGCTGCATTTAGCAACTTATCTTGTAGAACCAACACTTCAAGGAGTCAGAGTTGATATTTGAATCAGAATTATGGAATTATCTGAAGTCACTCAGGAATCTGCGATACTCTAATGTTGTGATCCATATACCACATTGTTTGTTGTTATGGATCAGAGCATAATAGTGGTACTATGTGCCTGTTTATAAAAATGTGTATATGAACACCATACATTTTCGATATCGAATCAAACGAAAATACATTCTTGGCTCAACATATCAACACAATTAATCCGATTGGATAATTAGAAATGGCTAAATGTTAGGTAATGGTTTCTCCTTTAGCATGAATCACCTAATAAGTCTCTTCGTTCACACACAAAATGCAAACCTTCTCTTTTAAGAATGAAATAATTAGAAATACGAAATGACCACGAAGACAAAAGCTGAATAGAGTAATACATATTAATGACTGATACTTGAACTTTGTGAGATTTTTATTAAATCAAAGTAAACTTGATGTCAAAACGAATAAATCCCTACTAAAATTTTAAGTCACTCAAGAATAAGGCTAATATAGTAGTCGCACTAAACAAAAAAATATTTCACTTATATGACAACTGCTAAAATCAAAAACTATATTGAGCACATTGCTTACCCTGTTTTAGTAAGCAGGTAAAGACTCAATGGTGAAGATGTGGTTTAGTTTCATTAACACTGAGAATATAAAACTATGATAGCATTTCTTAACAACGAGAGAGATTTCAATTTCTGTAGAAATACAACCTGTATAACTTAACTCTCAGACAGAGTATGATAGATCTCGGGAAAAGCTCTGTAATTCCATAGAAGCAGTGGAGTGAAACAAATTTATTTGAAGTGGCCATTTCTATTCAATTTTTCCACATCAAAAATAAATGGACTTATCCTACAGTGATACACAGGATACCTAATTTACAACCATTCGACTGACCATTCAATACTTAGTGTCATTATTGGACGCCTACAGGAGAAATTATATAACATTCTTCGCTTAAAATAATTCCCTTAAATGTAAGTGTTCCAGGTCATCTACTAGTGTATAAAAGGTAGGAGGATGTAGTAAACAGTTTGCCAAACATTTGTGTCAGACCTGAAGGGTCAAAGGGTGTTAATGTATGGCAATGTCAACACTAACACTGTTTCTATTCCCTTATTCATCGACAAAATAGTTTTCTTAAATTCAAAAAATTTTAAATCATTTTACATGGTAACACAAAGTCGTAAAAATGTGACTATGGAATAGATAAAAAAAAACAAATAATGGATTATTATTATTGTAGCGGTAGAATGAATTAATACAAATCAAAACAAGAGTAAATAGTAGCAGCTTAAGTCGCTTCAACGATGTAAAAGTCCCTTAGAATAGAAAAGAGGCTAACGTACAAAATTACGTTTTGTAGTTTCTATTTTCTGTTTCACACCAGCCAATTCGTCCCTAGCCATATCAACATCCGCTTGAACTTTTCTTTCTTCATTTTCTGATATAAGCTAAACAAATGTGAAACGTTAAAACACTTTCCACAATAATAATCTTAAGAGAAAAAGCAGGACATACTTTTAAAATATATTTAAAAAATATTACAAGTATTCTTATGATTTTTTTTCTACAATGAGTCTGAAAATTATACCTATTGGAATTAAAGCGGTTAATATCACTGACAACTCAATGATAGGTCAATAATCACAAAATACGCAATTTCTGTGTGTGTAATTACTGACAATACATAATAAACCACTATGACATTTCAGATATCACCTAACTAAGTCAGTATTTGGTGGTTATATGATATGCGCAGAGTAAATAAAGGAAAATTTTCATAGACAGTAAGTGTAGGTTCAGACAGAGTTTATTCCCCAGAAGGCACAGACACATAATTATTAAAAATGTGAATAATTATACTTTATCATTTGGTTCCCTTGATAAATTTCGATGAAGAAAGGAAGACGAGATTTGCAGTATAAAATGATATCACTCTATTTCACAGGTTCTCATCAGCTGCAAACCCGGCCGATAACTGCTACCTTGTCGTGGTGGTCGGGCTTGAATACCGCAATGACCTAACAAGCTGAACTGACTGGGACTCTGTCTCTACAGGTCCTAACATGTCAGGAAGGTTTTCTGGATAGCGGTTAAACTAAAAGCAGTTACCATGGGGTACATGGGCTCCAGTTTCCAATCGGATCAAATGGCGTATGAACCCACATGGGTCACCGGCAACCATGGGAATGCAGCTCCTGACGCTGCTCCGCTGCCTTGCGGATTAGACTCCAAGTCAAAGGCTCGGGGGTGGTCCCTTAATAAAACCACCTGCTTCGGTCTGGGCGCCCGGGCAGTATCTCAGCCCGCACACAATGAATGAATTAAAGCAACGAACTCCCATTGAAACTCAACGCGCGCTAGTAAAATGATTCCAAGCAATATTGATCCCTCAAGGAACTTATTTCCTTCCTACCCTACTTTTATTTTTATACATAGTTTCCTGTATTGTACCTTTTCTAACCTTGGCTTCTTAACCTTCGACAGCCTTTCGCCTTTGTCGAGATTCCCAGCCTATCCGTGTCGTTTCGAGATGTTAGTGAGTAGTCCTCAAAATGGTTGTTCCCAATGTGACATCTAACACGGATATCCTGAAACCGCGTGCTGCGTTCAAGCTGGCTACCTACAATGTTCGGACGCTGATGCAAATCGGACAACAGGCAGGGTTGGCAAGAACTTTGGAAAGCCTCGCTATCGATGTCTGCTGCATTTCGGAGACCCGCATTCAAGATCCCAGTGAAGTGCTTCGACTATCCTCTCCATCTGGAAGTTCTAGTAGTATGTACCACCTGCGCTTATCCGGGGACCCTGTGGCGTCGGCATCCGGCGTAGCTGGTGTCGGTGTCGCACTGAGCGCTAGAGCCGAAGCTGCACTGCTCGACTGGATTCCCATTAACAGTCGTTTATGTGCTGTGAGGCTGGAAGGTTATACGAAAGTAAGGAGTAGTAGGCCAGATAGGCGGTGTCTATTTGTTGTCTCTGCCTATGCACCGACGGATTGCAGCCCGGATGCAATGAAGGATGAGTTTTACTACCAACTGAGCGATCTCTTGAAACAGGCGGGTCGGAGGGATATCGTAGTGCTGGCTGGGGACTTGAATGCACAGGTGGGGCGTCTAAGCTCAGAGGAGAATCGTCTAGGTGGTCAGTGGGGACTACATGGTCGCAGGTCAGATAATGGGGACCGTCTTCTGCAGCTTTGCGCGGATCACAACCTATTTCTAGCTAGCACCAACTTCCGGCACAGCCATCGCCGTAGCGCTACCTGGCGTCCTCCCTCTGCGAAGCAAGCTTGGACTCAGATTGATCATATCGCGGTCAGTTTCCGGTGGCGAGGATGCATACAAGACTGTCGCTCCTTCTGGAGCACATGCCTGGACTCCGATCATGCGTTAGTGTGTGCCAAGTTCGTCTTGCGATTTGGTGGGGTTCGTAAAAGCCGTCGTCTAAGCGTTGATGTGAGCAAACTAGTAGCACCTGCTACTTCTTTGAAATATCAGAATGAGTTAAAAACAATGCTTGCCAGCAACCCCCCAAGTAGTATAGATGAACATTGGCTTCATGTGCAAGGTGCCATGCAAAAGGCGAGTGTAGCCGCTTGCGGCTTGAAAGAATGCTCCGCTAACAACCACTGGGTTTCTGCGAGTTCCTTGCAACTCATGGATGAACGCCGGTCCATTCCGGCTGGCAGCGAATACAACAATCAGCGAAAGGCGCTCACGCGCAAGATTAGACAGTGTTTACGTAAGGACCGCGAAGCCTGGTGGTCAGAACGTGCGTGTGAGATGGAGTCAGCTGCTGCATCTGGCAACAGTCGGAAGCTGTTCCAACTCATACGAGCCACCGGCAGCAAGAAACAAGGTGTCAGCGAGACGGTCTGTGAGGCAGATGGCACTCCAATTACCAGCCTGAAAAGACGCCTGGAACGCTGGGCAGAGCACTTCGGGAAGCAGTTCAGCTGGCCACCAGCTTCAGTGTCTACTATCATTAGCCCGAGTGCTCCTTGGTCGGTTAGTACCGACCCACCCACCGAAGCGGAGGTCCGTAAGGAACTCCAAGTTCTGAAACGCCATAAGGCGCCCGGCCCAGACAAATTACCCCCGGCTCTTTTTAAAGATGGTGGCGAGACTCTCACAATGGCTCTAACTGGGTTGTTCAGGAAGGTGTGGGAGACAGAGAGTGTACCATCAATGTGGAACGAAGCCATTATCGTCCCCATCTTTAAAAAGGGTCGACGTAATTCGTGTGACAATCATAGGGGTATCAGTCTGTTACCAGTCGCGTCTAAAATATTGGCTGCTGTCTTGCTTCGCAGACTGTGCAAAATACGTGAAGGATTGATTCGCGAAGAGCAGGCTGGGTTTCGTTCAGGTCGTGGATGCATTGATCATGTGTTCACCCTTCGTCAGTTGTTGGAACACCGCCACACGTATTGCAGGCCAACGATCGTTGTGTTTCTTGATATTAGGGCTGCCTTCGATTCGTTGGACAGAACTGTGCTCTGGAACTGTCTGTTAGAGAGAGGTGTACCTGAGAAATTTGTTAACATCCTGAAAGCCCTATACAGAAACACCTCAGGTAGAGTGAGGGCATACAACCAACTATCACCACTGTTCCCAACCAACAGTGGGGTTAGACAGGGTTGCCCAATCTCTCCATTTCTCTTTAACTTTGCCATCGATGACATTCTGGAGTCAGCTCTGAAGGATGTGCGTGAAGGTGGTGTAGATCTGCTACCTGGAGATAGACTTTTCGACCTCGAGTATGCAGACGATATCGTCTTACTGTGCGATAGCATGCAGGCTGCCCAAATCGCACTTAATCAGTTGGCGATCAGTGTCTGTAAGTATGGTATGTGCTTTGCGCCGTCTAAGTGCAAAGTACTGTTACAAGATTGGCAGGAGCCTGTACCTGCACTCACTCTTGCGGGTGAACCGCTTGAAGTTGTTGATAAGTTTGTGTACCTGGGTAGTTGTGTGAGTGCTGGCGGAGGGGTGACGGATGAGATTTCCAACCGTATAATGAAGGCTAGGGTGGCATACATCAACTTGAGCCACCTCTGGCGCCGTCGCGACGTTAGCCTGGCTGTCAAAGGTCGGGTATACAATGCTTCGGTGCGGGCTGCGCTGCTCTACGCCTGTGAAACCTGGCCTCTCCGAGCTGAGGATGTGCGGCGACTCTGCGTGTTCGATCACCGCTGTCTCCGCAGGATTGCTTGCGTTCGATGGCATCATCGCGTGAGTAATTCTGAGGTTCGGCGGCGTGTGTTTGAACAAAGTGGAGATCACCATTCATTGAATGTCGTCATCTGGAAACACCGGCTCCGGTGGCTTGGACATGTGCTGCGAATGTCACCCCAGAGGCTTCCGTACAGGTCTCTGTTCGCTAGCCCTGGGACGGGATGGAAAAGGCGGAGGGGTGGTCAGTCCATGACGTGGCGTCGTGGGATGAAGGATTTTTGTGCTAGATTAGCATCGGTTGGTGTGTCACGACTCCCTGGTTGGGGTCTACGAGACAGCTCAAATCGATGGCTCGAAACGTTATCGGATATGGCCAAGAATCGTAATCAGTGGCGAATGTGTTGTGATTTCCTTCTTTCTTCCCTTCCCGATGATAGCTAACGAACACTGTTTGAACTTGTTAAGCATGACTGTTTTCCTTCCAGATGAAGTTCTTTATCCGTTCTCTACTTATATATATTTTTTCTTTTCCTTCCTTCCTTTTTTTGATCTATGTTGTTTTATTATTATTGTGTGGCGCATCTTTCTTGGTGCCATATTGTACCAAGTTTTTTATGCGTTTAAATAAATAAATAAATAAAAATCTGAAATTACAACGATTATATAAATGATAACATACTTTAATGTTTAAGTAGTAGTAGAGAAGAAATACTATAAAACTGATACATCCAGAATGTAAGCATTACAATTTTTTAGTTTAAGTTTTTATCACTAATTTATACGCTTTCAAAGTAGAAAAGAGATGGGAGGGGTAAGACAAAAAAAATTAAAAATTAACAAACAGTGTAAACTTGTAGGTTCACATAGCAACTAAAAAAAGCGGTTACATTATATAAGATTGAGATTTCTACAGTGAGTTGAGTAAGTGATCTCTGCAGCTAATTAGAATCTGTGAAATAGAATGATATCCATTTAATACTGCAAATTTCGTCTTCCTTTCTCGATCGAAAACTATACTTTAACTGCGTAAGCCTGACTTCAGCAAGGCGAGTGGCTTCACTAACTAGCCATAACACTAAAAGTATTCTCCTTCAAAACTATAGCTTTTCATAAGATTATACGGAAAATCTTTCTTTTTTTTAAGTATATGGATAGTGAATTATCACTAAAACGAGAGATTCTAGATGACAATTGAGACTAAAGAGATAATTCTCAAGGCAATACTTTTCTCTAAACAAGATGCACTTATTTCTAGTGCGAAAAATAATTTCAAGTGGAAACAAAATATACACGTTGTGCAAGAGTTTAATGGTATCTCAGCGTAGTAGAGATTTTTCTGTATACACAAATATATAATTGAGCAAAATGTATATTAGACAGAAATACTAGAAAATGAAATTATGATTTAGTGGTATTTTTTCAGCTACATTTACCTTGACTTCTGCTAGTTGATTTTCAGATTCATGCAATAACCCCTCGATATGGTCGGTAATATACTGGGCATCTGCATCATTAAACTGTTTAACGCCTTTATATCTATCCTCTGAAGCAAACAAGCATATAGGGAAAAAAGAATTATTTGAGCATGAGTAAATACCGGAAATTTTAAGCGTTTACCATTCATAAAAACTACTAACCCAATGTTGGATAACATCCGCACACACTAATACAATGTCATCATCGCGAATAAACTGATCTGATTAGTATGTCGCCTAAGAACTGTTTATACTTAAAGCAATCAGTCTCTTTGACACATTTGAATCAGGCGTTCAGAAGACAGATTTCGCGAGATGATATCTTTCGTAGTTACTTTACAACCGCTTTACAACTAAAATGGTTCACAATAATATAATAAAATGCATGACAATTACTCAGTTGTATAAAACAAAAGTACATACTAATGACCAATCATCTTTAAATAGGTCAAGTAGTCCATGGTAGGCAAAGGTTGAAGTCAATTGTTTTTTGTACACAAAGGTTTAGGATGTATGTAATTAATCCAAAATGCTTCCATCACCTTTATTAACCAAACTCGAATTAGAGTTATGTGAAATAATTTTGAAATAGTCATTAATATTGATTTTCTGACCTGACATTAAAAAGTGATTTGCAATGCATGATGATGGATGTTTATATTTAGTCTGAGAAACTAGTATTTTAACATTATAATTTGTTTGGTAGTCTCACCAAAGTAGAGACGACAGGAGTAAATATCAAGCGTTAAGTAAATAAATTACGAAATGGTATTTAACACTTCTCATGACTGTTGTGGTTGATTTACTCTTATGCATGCCATTGATCATTCACACTCGGAACTTGCAGAAAACCAATTCCTACACCAACCAAACACCAAGGAATTTGCAAGCCATCACAGTATGCGTGGAACGATGAGAAAATCAAAATCAATGGAAGAACCAGACGGCATCGATTCAACTGCAGATTACAAAGTTGGGGATATGAGAACCAACCATAATCGCAAAAGCTAGACGGGAATCAGTGTGGTGATAAACAATACTCAGAATGTGATATAACACCTGAATTCTGTTTAACGTTAATATCAGTATTTCTATATGCTTCAGAGATTTAGCGTGAACTTCACGAAAAGCGTATCCAACACGTTACCGAAGAATTTAATTCAACCTTGCCTTCTCTCAGCAGTGGTGATCGACATGACCAGTAGGAAAGTGTAAGAAATAAGGAACTCTGGTGTGGTGAGAGAGCGATCTGCCTCCCAAAATTGGTAGACAGCAACTTACATCAATGTTTAAGTCCCAAATCTTGGACGTGAGGAAAAAAACATGAACAAAGACTAACTCAACTACCAATCACAGCAGACTTAGCGTGGGCGGATACGATTAACAGATATATCAACGGACTGTCTAAGAAACGGTAACAAAGAGATGACAGAATAACCTTCAGCAGGAAAACAACCAGTCAGACGACGTTACTTCTCTGCTAAAATAACGAATAATAATGTATATAAAAATCTATAAATATCGGTTGATTTTCTCAGTAAGGGATCCGTTGCCTGGCCCTTGTCTTCTGTCCCTATACTGCTAGTGAAAAAGCCATGAACCTATTACCCAACATATATGCAGAGGTAAGTGTAGGTGGATTGGACACACGTCGAGAAATTAAAGTGACATCACACTCCAGCACCTCCAGAGGAATCCGAACGGTGAGCGACAGGTTGGGCGTCTACCCGTTAAATGGTGTAAATCATTGGGGAGGAAATAATATTATGTGAACGATCCTGAAAGTAGCTGAAAAAGATTGCACAGAAGCAAGTGAATTGGTGGTGGACTGTTGAAGCTATGTTCCACTCGGAAAGGAAAGAATAATAAATCTGAATCCTACATATTCTGTAGTCTTATTCTCACTCAACCTGCGCTGGGGTTCTAATAAACCCATGTTACATAACAGAAATATATAAAACATTGAGAACGGATGAGGCCGACCTCTAGATTCATGAAGATTTATTGGAACTGAATACTTAAATACTTAATAGCATGGATACAGAAGGCTAGTTTCGCATATGCCAGTTTACGCCGTCTCTGGCGTAGACGTGATATCCAACTATCGACCAAGAGGCGGGTGTACTGCTCATCAGTCCGCTCCTTCCTCCTTTATGGCCGTAAGACCTGGCCATTGAGAGTGGAAGACATCAAAAGATTATCTGTCTTTGATCATAGGTGCCTGCGTTCTATCTCTCGTGTGTGTTAAGTGGTATAATAAGGTGAGCAATATTGAAGTGAGGCTTCGGTTGAGTGTTAGGTAAGGAGGGGAAATCAATCGACGAGGTTGTGAAGTTACATCGACTGAGATGGTTAGGACATGTGTTACGTGTGCCTATTCATCGCCTTCCTCGACAATGGGCAATGTTAGCTGATATAGGGTCAGGCTGGAAAAGAGGTAGTGGCCGTCAAACCAAATCATGGCACCAGTCAATGAAATCTACAACAGTTAGTCTAAGCCATATAGGAAGGTGTAGACTTCCTGACTGGTTGCGGTCCTCAGGACGGTGAAAACCAATGGTTGGAAACAATTGGTGACATGGCTCAAAATCGTTCTAAATGGCGCAGATGCATCCACTCCTTGTAACTTATGATTTCCAATGAAACTGTTTTGTTCTTCGTTACTACTATTCCTTTGTCTCACACCTCTGTTTATTGTCTTCAATATGCATTTCCTCTACTTCCTTCTCTTGCTTTGTGTGCTACATGGAGTGTGGCGACTTGAACTTCGGCACATATGTGCAAAGTTCTATGTCAAAAACAGACAGATAAAAACGGAAAAGACCCTGTTAACCCAATTAAACAAAATAATATAATTTACAAAATACCTTGCAATGACTGTGAGGTCAACTATATAGGTCAAACTATTAGATCGGGGGTAATCAGATTGTCGGAACATAAGAATTTAGCTAAGGGAAGAATGGTTGACCCCGAGAAGATAAGTAATTTAGAAAAAAGTTCACCTGCACTGCATGCATTAAAACACAATCACACACTAGGGTGGGAGAGGGTTTAAATTCTAAGAAGTAATATAAGTAGGTGGAGAGACAGATTGATTACTGAATCCTGGTTCATTGAGTCTACACCCAACACATGCAACGGAAATGACTCAATGCAAATACCAGAGATAAGGAAGATATTAGTACCACCAGTCAAATCAGAGGAGGATAACAAATAATCTTAAAATTCTACTTCAATTCACGTACATCAAAGCATTCTAACAAGTTACTTATTTTGACTATAAAAACACTCGTCTTATTTCCCATCTGACTGTATTTGATTGATAAAACTCATATAATTATTTCTGAATATCCATTACCTTACATTGATTTTATTTAAATGTCTGATCGATTTAACTCATGTATATAGATGAAGGAAAAAAGTTATGTGAGTGACTTGATATGATTATGAGCAATGGTTATTGCTTGAAACGCCATCAGTTAATATTACTGTACAACACTGTGTGATTTATCAAAATAAAATCTTATTTATGATGGAGTTATACTCTACCACAGTGCTCAAGTTTCATGCTCATATAAAAAATATATTCTTTGCAATGACTAACAGTGTAATGAAGGAAGCGCTTGTCTACGTATTTAGGAATCGTCGTTAGGATATCCCTGCATCAGCGTGGAGTGATGATGTCTCCACTGCCACCTGAAGTCAGCATTTATGTTTAAAGGTGTTATCCACTGAATTACTGAGCCACGAGAGCCACTTCGTATGAAGCAGACATTAGTTGTAATCTCACATTATCTTGGATTTGTCGTGTCTTCTAGATAGCACCATGTTCACATTAAGGCGGCATAGAAGTCTGCGAACTAGAAGCACACACATATGAGCAGACACAGGATTTGGGTCCAGTAAAATCAACCGACGGAAAATTCAGAACTATTTCAACAAATCATTTTTCTATGTAAACTAAGACAACTAGGTAAGTTGAAACGTAAAATAAGGTTAAAAAAAGAAATATCAACTTATTATAAGTTGAAACCACTTTATGCTTTTGTATATTTTCATACGACAGAGATAACGTACCAGGTATGTAATGAGAAACAAGTGATATTAAAATCATATCTCGACTGGTTATTGCTTCGCTTAAACGCTAAAAATTAAAACAAAGATGGTTACATAGTGAAACTTTTTACATTGTATAGTGAAAATATTCAACAAGATTGTTGTAGTTACTTCTAGTTCAGTGTTAAACTCTGAGGGAAAAATAACGACTAAACAAATAGTAGATTCACGAAGCCAAGTTGCGATTCTGTAGTAAGCTGTAATCCTGCCGTTAGATGTTGATGAGTGAAAACCCCTACGTTTAGCTTCGGGATCTGTTAATGCTTCTCAGTAAGATTCATTTGTCACCTCCAAGAGACTCATAAATCCCAAGTGTATCGCAGCCAGTGACTTCAGAAATAAACTAGTTAGGTTATAAAAAGAAAGTCCTCCTGTGTATCCGTACGATACGGATAGGCAATTCTCCTTTTTTATATTCTAAAAATAAAATCATACTCTCACTTTGAATATTCGTTGTTTAGTCGTCTATATTTTATATTGTCTAGCAATAATAAACAGATGCCCTTACAAGAACCTAGGGTATAAAATAGTGCATGTTTCTCTTAAAAACAATGCGTCCCTTAAAATATAGTTAGTTTTAGACAATGCATACATAGTTTATAGGACAATGTCAACTGTAAAATAACTGGGATTCATATTAGTGAACGAATTATCATAACTTTAGTTAGATTTTTAAACCTTATCACATGATAAGTCATGTGAGTAACCTGTTTCAGTAAATTGATGATGAAATGATGTAACAGTCTATCTCTTTTTTACTGGGCCAGCGCTAACCAAATAAAGTATAGTTAAATTTCAATGGTTTACACACGATGATAAGTTGTTGTTTTTGGTAATATTTCGAGTAAAATTACTGACAATTCCAACAGTTGGTGTGAACACGGGCAGTAATTTTACTCAAAATATTACCAATAACAAAAACTTATCGTCGTATGTAAACCATTGAAATTTAATCATACTTTATTTGATCTATTCCACAATTCTCAAACTTTTTACTGACAGTGCCAACCAGTTAAAACCGTTTTCTATACACTAAATATGTGCTTTATTACTTAAGTAATTACATATAGATACTGACACTTTCTGATCATTAATTCTCTCCTTCAAGAATAATTCTAGTCTTCTCGGTCAACCATCAGTACCTTTCCAACAGTGTGGTGGACAGCATTCGAGTGGTGTATGAAACACGATTATCTATCTAGAACCTATGGGTGTTAGAAGTCTCTAATGAACCATAATCCAGTTACTTCAATTGACTAGAAGACGCAGAAGGATAGGAACAAATATATCTGAACACATTTTTACGACATCAAGTCCTTCAAGTAGAAAAACATAACCTACAGTTAGGCATTTATTACACATTTGTACAATATCATGTCATCCTAAAATCAATTTTACAAATTTCAAATTAATCTCCTACTATATAATCAATAAACCTGTACTACTATTTTTCTTCTTTTTTTCCCTTCACGTTCCCAGTGGAACATAGGGCTTCAAGCTGGAGGCTATAATATTGATTGATTATTTAAATATAAGAATGACAGTCACCAAGTTCACATTTATTACAATACCTTATCAATATTCACTTACTTTAACTTCCATTTCAATTTGTGCTCGTTCAACTATGCTTTTAGTTCTATCAGTTTCCAAAGCATTCAACTCTTTACGCTTTTTTTGAAGCATATCTTCAAGCTGAGATTGGCATTAGTGTATTATACAGAGAAAATGTAATAAAAGTGCTTTTAATTTTTAAAAAAACTGTTCAGCAACAATATTATTTGGTAATTAAGCAAACTTGATGCCGCAGATACTAAAAAACGTATGTAAATCCAGTGTTAGAGTTACTCAGTATTCCCTCAAATATTTTTTAATTGCTGTAATTATTTAGTAAACACGTGTATATGATCAGATTTGAAGCGATTCAGTCATACTGTGACGATTCATGATGCTTTCTAGCTGTCAAATCATTAGAAAACAGGACACAGTATGATATTAAACGAGTTATTGAACATAAGACATGAACAATTACAGGATTTCTCACAATGGATGGTCCAACATGTCACACTTGAACATTTTCACTGATTAATCTAATGATCGTAGACTCAAATTAACTGTTTCCATGGTCGAATGAATGGAGTAGGTGATTTTAAAAAAGGAAATACTGCTTTAAATTTAAAATGTGAAATTGGAACATGGAAATAGACAAGTTTTGACTTTTTTTTGCAAGTGGTAAAAACGTGGAAACCTTAGATTCTCTTTTACGCAACTTCGGTATTTTATCGCTATGCGCACTAGGATTTTGTAAGATTATTATTTCGTACTTTACTTCCCATAAGATGTTTTGCCGGCTGGGCGAAATAATTTTCGAAGTTCTTCCCTCTTTACTATATGTTCATGAATGTACAGTTCAGTAGACGTTTTTGGTAGGGGAAATTTCCCTCACTTGTAACTTTCTTAAAGTAACAGTATCAAACAGCTGATTGCAAGTATTCGAATTTTATCTACAAAGCAAAAAGTAATGACTATGAAGTTAAGTTAATAGATCGACCACATACATTTCAAGTTTGAAGGTGAACGTTTTCGGCAGGTGGCTGGTGTTGTATGGGGAGTTCATTAGGACCTTTGTTAGCGGACGTTTACATGTATTATGTTGAGAACTTGTCTCTTAATTTAATCTCTGAATCGCTCTTCTATAGGGGATATATTGGCAACATCATTTTAATGTGAGGATTATGATGATGCGAGTCGTCTATTAGATAGACTTAACACTGTACAGAATGCCATAAGTCTTACATGCGAGGAAGAAAGTCGTAACCAGCTTGCACTTTCAGACATACTTCTGAGTTGAAGATATGATGGTTCAATAGATGATTCAATGGTTCAATGATGACAAATCTACAGAAAGCCAACTTGGACAGGGCAATACCTTAACTTTCACAGTTTCTGTCCATTACAATATAAGAGAGACTTGGTGAAATATCTATTTAAGAGGATTCAACGTATTTGCACAGCTGATGTTATACAGAAACAAAGTGAAATACTGATGGATACTCTTGTTAAAAAGGATATCCTCTAAAATTTTTAAACAGGTGTAGAAGTTAATTAGTCTTTAGACCCCTAAGAAAAATTTCTTCATCAAAATACCATATAACGGGGAAATAAACAGTAGGATTTTCAGACAAAATTCGAATTCGATCATCTGTAGAACCTATTATGCAGTCCGGCTTGTAATTATTGAAAAAGCCAAAAATATGCTCCACCGCAAACCTCAGAAGTGCACAAGTGATTATGTCATATCCCACACTATTTATAAGTTCTCGTGTGTGTGTGTGTGTGGACACATACATAGGGAGGAGTAATCCTGCTCTACATGTGAGGGTGGGAGGGCATACCCCGAAATTGTTAGAAAAACAAATGAATTGTGGAAAACCAATAGACGCAAGTGTCAGACTACCAACTTTGTCCATAGGTAAACACCTAATCGAGATGAAACATAAGACTGATGTTAACTCAGCCTCTAAGGTCATCAATATAAATGGTCAAGGGCGCTTGCTGAAATACGCTGAGGCTATAGCTACCCATAAACTTAAGCTACCCCCTGTGTATCCAAAAACAGTCTATTGTTACTCTTTACCTACGTCGGTAATCCTTATTTGATTGGGTTACCAAAAGTTGTCTTGATCATTCTTAAATCCTTTTCCACTTTGTTTAATTTAATTGCCCTGTATTTTTTCATACATATCGAATTGATAAGTAAGTGTGTAGCGCAAATACATAACATTTTTCAGATAATCTCCACCTTCTAATGACACTATCCAATTTTATAAAAGGGACTAACTGTTTCAAATAGCTACTGAACAAAGAATACTCTTTTCGATAACTTCATCATCAGGTTCTACAGTTATTTATACATAATAGTGAATGAATTAGTGTTGGTATTAACAACATTAATGTTTAATTAACATCAAATCAATAATATCGGTAGATTACATTTCAATAGCATCAACATAACAATAAATTGAATGTCAGGAAAATTAGGAAAGATGATATTACAAATCCATAAATTTATAGTCTCTACTGAGGGCCAGGGCAGATATTTTCGGAAAGTTTATACGAAGAAATCAGGTCAAAGGGCACGTATACGCCAAGACTGTATAGCCTACCTAAAGTGCATAAACCGGAGGTACCGTTAAGACCAATACTAGATGTGCAAAATTCGCCCTACCATGCTGTGGCTAGATGATTAGTAAATACTCTTAAACCTTTGCATGAGAAGACAGTGAAATATAGAGCCAAAGATGTATATGAATTTGTAGACAAAATCAAAGATATTAAAACCATGATATCTTTGGACATAACCTCTTTATTCACAAATCTCTAGAAGAAACAGTTAACTACATATCTGAACAAACGTATAACCAGTCGATAAATATTGACATCCATACTAAAGCCGTAAAAGAACTGTTATCAAGGTGTACATTGAATATTAATTTCAAATCTGATGACACACTTTACAGACAAGCGGATGGGGTGGCGATGGACTCCCCTTGGGTCCCATTTTGGCAGATTTCTTTCTAAGTAAACTAGAAAATGGACTTTTGAATAACTTTACCCAAAAATTCTTCTTTTATTTTCGGTATATGGATGACACCTTTATTCCTTGCGATAATGATTCGGAACATAATAATAACTGAATTCAATTAAGTACACCCTGCTATAAAATTCACATGCGAAGAGAAATCCCAAAACAGAATTGCCTTGCGGGATGTCCTCCTTACAATAAAACCAGATGATAGAATAAAGAGAAATTCGCGTAGGACAAGTGCATGGACAGCACAATATGCACATTTTCACGGCTTCGTACCTATCAAGTACAAAAGAAATTTAGTGAAGACCCTCAGCCACAGAGTTAGAGCTATATGCTCAGAAGAAGTAATTCAAGATGAATTAAGCATTGTATATGATACTTTGATCGAAAATACCTATCCCGAAAAATTTATCAAGAAACACATGACAAAGAGAGCGGAAAGGGCTACTCTCTATCTGTAAACAAGAAGCCACTCTATATACGACTGCAATTCAAGGGCGATATACCAAGTGAGATAATTACGAATAAATTAAGAAAATCAGTTCAAAGAACTTTTAATGCTGGCGAACTACACGTCTTATTCTCGACACGACTGAAAGATGAAGTACCTAGACTAGCCACTTCTAATTATACCTACCAATTCAACTGCGCTTGTGGAGAGAGTTATATTGGCCGATGCTCTAGGAACTTGATTTCTCGTGCTCGAGAACATCTCCCACTGTGGCTAAGTAAAGGTGTAGTGAAAACCATTAACAGTTCGATATTGGACCATCTGGTGCAAACCGGCCACAGAGCCAGCCAGCGTGGAAGAATCCTTCTCTATAATCTACCGGGTGCCTAATAAATTGTCAAAATCATCGAAGCACCACATGCTCCAAACAGCAGAGGCTATTGCAATTCGCCTCAAACAACCAGTGCTCTGTTTTCAAAAGAAGCAAGTTCAGCCCTTACTACTATAAATTCATGAATTTATAATATCATCTTTCCTAATTTTCCTGACATTCAATTTATTGTTATGTTGATGCTATTGAAATGTAATCTACCGATATTATTGATTTGATGTTAATTAAACATTAATGTTGTTAATACCAACACTAATTCATTCACTATTATGTATAAATAACTGTAGAACCTGATGATGAAGTTATCGAAAAGAGTGTTCCTTGTTCACTAACCATTCTTTTGAAAATCCTCTAAAACTTCATGCAGTGATTCCATATTTTTATATGACTAGTGCCTCGGCTATACCCAAAAGCTCAAACCCACGCCATGATTCCATGTTTGATCTAAACAATCAACTCTTTTAAACGTGATCCGACTTCATTTAATATTGAAGAGTGACAAAGAAATGCGTCACACTTTCCATACGCACATAATTCACACAAATGGGAAGCATTTTGAAGTCTATACAATACCATATACACAAATTATAACCTTTATGAGCATACCACGGAATATGCCGGAGTTCTAAAACGAAAGACTACTAACCTGATTAAGCTGAAGAATTTTCTTTGTATACTCTGTTTCAGCGTCTTCAACCAGATACTTTAGCTCCTCATCACTGCCTATAACAAACAGGTAACAGTTTTATATAAGTAGTAATTGTTGTATATTAAGAAACACTCACGACGACGACTCGGAATAGAAACAGTAACAAAATGGTGAGTATAGCAATAACTGCAGTAACAGCAAATAAACTCAAGGAAAAAAGTGAAATTCAGCATTGGATATATGACTGCTAGACATCATATGAATACTAATAGACAGCTGATCTAGCAGGAAATAAACAACAAGTGAATTATAATTATCTGAAGTTCTACAAATTGTGCAAATTAACGATGCACATTTTATCAATAAGCTATATGACCTCACCGACTCTTTTATGAAGTTTTTCCAAATAACAATCCCCCCTCCCAACTTATGTAAGTATTCATCATATATTTGTTTTCAAGGTGCAACCTAAATAATAAAAACTACTTAACTTGAAAAAGGTATTTTGTAAATGAAGACTTAAAACTAAGATTTTCCCTACCTATCCTTCTTATTCGGCACCTTTCACTATTCAAATTTGCAGAAAAGGAATTAACCCATAGGACATCGAGGAAAGCACTAAAATGCTTTGTAAATGTCATATTTTGCCGAAACTGAACAATTGGTGTAAAGAAAGAAGTATTTATATAGTTTACCGGGTTGGAAAGACAGGCAGAAGGGGGTATAATTAATCGAAGTACGACTGACAGAATTATTCTTTTCAAAGGTTATACGAACGGGCAAAGTAGCCTAAGAACTAATATCTAAATGATTAATGTTGATAATAAGAGTAGTAGTAATGACAGTAGGCAATAATAAAAATTAAAGAACCTGAAAGCAATGTAAAAGCAAACAAATACACAACAGAGTGACATATCAATCATCCCAACTCTTACCTTTAAATTCATCATGTACATTCATCAATAGGTTTGCGATAGCATCCGTTAAATGAGCACGTTCAATTTCACAAGATTCTTAGAAGTAAATTCGCAAAAATATTATATTAACATGGTAAATGTTAGTACGTGAAATGCTCAATGATTGCTATTTATCTATGAGAAACTTCGCATCATGACTCTATGGTCATATGCAAATAGTAGATGACTAATCTCATTATTCATATACCATGATCTTCAATTTAAGACTAGGATGATGATTTTGATTCCAGAGATGACGCGATTCGATTACTTGAAAAATTCTGACTGGTCAAATAAATCAAATAACATCACTGTTATGACATTTAACAGTAGACAAACAACAGAAATCGCTAGGGAATTCTTGAAGGTAGCGGAATAGAAGCCACAAATTTAAAAAAACATGACATTGGAGAAATGGCTCTAAAATAATCAACCTTCCATATATTATTGCGTGCGTCGGTGACACAGCGGTTAGGACGCTCGCCGACCATGCGCATGGTCCGGGGTTCGACCACTGGCCAACGTACTCCTTAACCTCGCTACGCCAGTAATAATGCTGATAAGGAGGAAAGGTTATGCATGAGGCTAGCAACCCCATCCTGTAAAATTAAACACTGGTACAGAAACTTCAAGCCACTAGCTACTAGCTCTATGTTCCACTAGAAACGTGAAGGAAAAGAAAAGAAGAATATTATTACTTCACCGATAAGCTAACCGGTCCTATGTCCATGAGAGAGGGAAAATGAGGCGTTGGGCTGATCAGCCTAACCCAGAAAATAATTCCAGTTGCCACGGAAACTTCAACTCACAGAATAAATATAAAAAATTAACCCATACTTCATTGCAGTCCGAGAGACGGAATGACGCAGTCTGGGGGGGGGCAGTCAGTCATCTTTTGAGAAAAGTGGAAATACACAGTGGAACATTGAATGTCAGCACAATGTTAGGAGATGACTTAGAAGGCTGCTCTGTTTGTCAAAGAGATGAGAAGGATACGGTATAGAAGTACTAGTAATCTGTGACAGCAGATACGAAGGGCTTGGAGTCTCAAAATGGTTAACTAGAGTCAATAATCTACTCCGGTCACCCAGATGGCAACCACGATTACACTGAAGGGGTGGTTATCGTAATGTTAACAACAGCATCCAAAGCCCTTATGCAGCGGGAACCAGTCTCCTACAGGATGATGACGGCGAGATTCAACACAAAAGGAAGCAAAGTTACAATGATCATGTAATGCTACGCGCCTACGACAACAAGAGAAGGATGATTTCTACAGACAACTGCAAACAGTAATGCATAACAACTCCAATAGCACAATCAAAATCCTGATGAGTGATATCAATGCAAACGAGAGACAACACAGGAGGAGAATTCGTCGTGGGTTGGAAGGCTGTCGCGAAATGAATGACAATGGAGAACTCTTCGCAGACTTCTGTGCTTTCAATGACTTGGTGGTTGGAGACAGTGTGTACAAGCACAAGGGCATACACAAAGCGACATGGGCTTCACCAGATGGACACACAGAAAATCACATAGACTTCATCTCAATGCTGCTAAAGAAAGTGGAGACGCAACCTGCTGGACGCGAAATAGAGAAGAGGAGCAGATGTGAACTCAAATCTTTATCTGGTGCAATTGACCTTCATATTCACGTTGGAGGTCTTCAAAGAAGCTGGTGACAGACTACAATTCACGTGTAAGACCCGTAAATTGAAGAATGAGGCGACTACCGCAGTCATCATGTAACAACAGAAGGCAAGACACCGAAGCCAAAGTATATTTTTCACTAATCGAACCGCTGTTCATATATATATAGTTTATATTCCTTAACCAATCACTGAGCGTGTGATTTCGGTTTATATCAAACGACAAGAAATAGAATGTTCAAATATACATAATAACCAATCTGTAACTAATCCAGTATTGAACTGTGGAAAAGTATTCTGCCTCTAACATCAAATAGATATATCATATTCTGTTGTTAATGTCGAATTGAGCTGTGGGAACATGTGAGAACAACATTCCGTTGGTACACATTGTCTGTATCACACCACCACAATCAGAGCGAAATCAGAGACATTATGTGGCATCTCCGAGGAAACCTGTGTGGAAGAGCACTTGAACTCTCTGAAAGTGATGTTGGAAGAAAAATATATATTCATTTTGGGAAGGAAGGAGAGGCAAGACAAGGAATGGCCCTGCACAAACATGTGAAAGTTGATAGAGAAGAGGGGGATGGTCAACCGAAGACAAACCAGTACTGAGATGGGCAACTAAAAGAGCAGCTGAGTTCACTGTGCAACGCACTGAATAAAGAAATGAGGAAGAGTGTTTGTAAAGATAGAAGATAATTAATTCTACGATACACTGGAAACTGGAGCAGCAGGTAAGAGGGACCCCAGAACATTTTTCCAGATAACCAGGTCGCTATCCGGAACGAGACTAACACAGATGGAACTAGTGAAAGATAGTGAAGAGAACCTAATTACTAAAGCAGGAGAACAAAAGTGACGCTAGGCTGGTCACTTCAAAGGAATCTTGAGCTGATCACCATCTGCAACTCGTTCAGAAATACCTCCACAGAACTGTCAATGGACACTAATCTTCCAACAAAGACAGAGGTTTTGAATACCATAAGGTTACTGAAGGCTGGAAAGGCAGCAGGACCGGACGGGGCTCCTTGGGAAGCACTGGAAACGAATCCAGAGGCCTCAACAGACATCGTCACACCACCGTTGCAGTGTTTGGGAAGAAGAAAATGTACCTCTGGATTGGAAGAATGGGCATCTTATCCAACTACCAAGGAAGCACGACTTAAGCCAACATTAAAACTAAAGTGGAATCATCCTTCTGTCCACTTCAAGCATTTCGAACAGGCTTCAGGCTTTTGTCAACAGCTGTCTTCGCTCCGTGTTGGAAATCAGGTGGCCAGAAGGAGCTAGCAGAAAGGGGCTCTAGCAACAAACCAACCAAGACCCTACGGCTCAACAAACATGCCAAAGGGAATAGGGACGAATAGGACACATGCTGAGGAGGAGGTCATTGAATGACATCACGAGCCAGGTCACGGAGTGGAACTCGAACATCAGACGACGAGTCGGGTGTCCGAGGATGACATGGAGGAAATCGTGTGAGGAAATGAAAGCTTATAGGGAATCCTAGTACCAGCTAAAGAGGACTGCAGAGAACGGGTTGAAATGGAGATGTGCTGTTAAAACCTTATATTGCACTGGGGATGTGAGGGAATAATTATTCTTTTATACATTGAAGCTCAACTTTCAGCGTCATAATTGTGTTGGTTAAAATTGAAAGTCTTTAAACATTCCCATTTATAATATTAGTACAACACATATAAGCGAACAATATTGTTTGCAATTAGATCTTCTTCAGGCTTTACTCTAATTTACATAGACTTATATATAAAAAATTTAACCAATGATGGTGGTTTTGTGGATCAAATAATAATAATAATAACGTGGTAAATGTTTTGGACGTAATTAATAACGATGATTATAATGATAACAAAATATTGATAATAAGGTGAATGCAGGTGATAAGAATAACAAAGGTAGTATATGTATATATGTGTATACGTAGACAATTCAATAAATAAATAAATTAGGTCAAATCTTAAAAGGTGAAGTGGAACGATATAATCAGAGTTCAAATAAATATCATACAAGTACGAATGAGATGGAAGATAAAACTGTTTAAATAATAACCGATATCCTAAAATTTACTGGAAATCTCTTCGTCGTAATAAAGTTTATCCAAATTCCCGATCACTGAAACGTTATGCACTTAACTGATTGCACTCTTTAAAAGTGTGAATTTCGGATATGGAAAGAAATTTATCACAGAAAAAATTTGCAGTCGATGAACTTCCTGAGGATTTATTATTTGATTTCATTGAGTATGTCGACAGTGGTAGCCAAAACAGAGGAGAGAAAAGGAGAACGAAACTTATCAAATCATTAGGCAGTCAAAATCCTGAAAAGGATTTCACTTCATTCCCTTCAGGCTCCTATCGGTACGTACATAACTTTTCAAGTGTAACACTAGATAAATTATAGTTAGAAGCTCTATGATTGGGTCCTAGATTTTGTCACCAAGGTTATAAAGTCAACCAACTCGATAACAACATCCAGTTTGAAAACAACCCTCTACAAACAAAAGATTTGACACCAACGTCAGACAACGAAGTCGCTAGGTTTAAAACTACACTAGTCGACAGTTGTCAACAGTATAAAAACAGAAGTCACTCTAGTAAGAGTTTCCTGACTAAACAGCTTCGAGAAGCCCTAAGAAAGTTAGGAACGACGAAAACATTTTAATCAGTAGACCTGATAAAAGAGACGGAGTAGTAGTGATGAATAAGTGTTATTATATTGACAAAATGAATTCGCTTCTAACGCATGAAACGAAGTTCCAAAACCTTAAAAACCCAACAGATCTGACAAGGAAAGGCTGAAAAGCAGCTAACTACTACGCTTAAGGAACTGAGAAAAAGTGGAATAATCTCAGAGGCAGCCTATAACCGTCTTAAACCTACTGGAAGTAATACTTCACGTCAGTACAGTCTGCTCAGAGTACAATAACCAGGACAACCTCTTCGCCCAGTCCTGGATATGTCAAACTCCACTTACCATGGAGTGGCAAAGTGGCTAGATGAAATCCTCCAACCGTTACACAGGGTGGTAGTAAATCATAGTGTTACAGACGTTTTTTGAATTCATCACCAACGTAGATGATATCAATGTAAATGGGAAGCAGATGCTATCCTTAGATGTAGCATCATTGTTTTCCAATATACCACTTATGGAGACTGCGGAATTCATATGCTAACAGATACTAGAAAAACAGATCGTCATGGGAATACCGGCTATTAGTCTGAAAGAGTTGCTTTTAAGATGTACTATGAATGTACACATTTAACAACCTTTACTACAGGCACATCGACGGTATTGCCATGGGTTCTCCATTGGGGCCAATTTTGGCAGGTTTCTTTCTTTCCAAAATTCAAAATAGTCCATTAAGACAAGCGATACAGAAAACCGATTCTGATTTTCGTTACGTTGATGATACGTTTATTATTCTTGATGTGAAAGCTGACAAGAATGAAATGTTGAAAAAGTTTAATGATGCACATCCATCGCTCATCTTCACTTGTGAAGAGGAATATGATGATGGACTGCATTTCCTTGACGTCCAATTGAGCAGAAGAGAGGATGGTTCACTCAAGAGAGATGTCTATAGAAAACCTACATCTGTAGGACAATATACACATTCCCTCAGTTTTGTACCAATCCGATACAAAATCAATTTGGTCAGATGTCTGACGAATAGAGCAAGACGTATTTGTACAGATGACTGCTTAGAAAATGAGCTAGAATACATCCAAAATACGTTGGTCCAAATGGGTTATCCTAGTAGATTTGTAAGGAGACACATGAATACCAGGTACAATAAAGAGAAACTGACAACAGTTAAAAAGAAACAACTGTTCATGAAACTGCAATTTAATGGGGACGTGGCTAGTGAAGTCTTACATCTGAGATTATCAAGAGCGAAAAAACGGACTTATACTGCCGCCACCCTTTGTTTGTCATTTTCCAGCCGACCACTTATGATTGCTCAAGTGAAAGACAAGCTACTTAGCTATACCACTTCCATGTGTATCTATAAATTTAGTTGCTCCTGTGGAGAGAGCTATATAGGCCGAACAACTAGACAGCTTAACAAACGCACTAATGAGCATCTCCCTTCATAGTTCGGAAAAGGTCAAATAAAATTCATACGAAATTATATTTTGGCTCATTTGATTGACAGTGGTCACCAAGTGGACAAAAATAGTGCCTTCAAAGTTATCTATCGCATTCCATCGAGTCTTTCGAACGGAATCAGAAACCGTCATTTACACTTAGCTGAAGCTATGGGAATTCGAGAGAACAATCCTAGTCTTTGTACACAAAAGAAGTTTGTTCTACCTTTCTGTCTCCGTTGGCCTAGGTGAATTCTATTCAAAACCTTCCCACCCTCTCTTATCTTCCATCTCCTTCGTACTTTTATGATATTTATTTGAACTCTGATTATCGTTCCACTTCACCTTTTAAGATTTGACCTAATTTATTTATTTATTGAATTGTCTACATATACACATATATACATATACTACCTTTGTTATTCTTATCACCTGCATTCACCTTATTATCAATATTTTGTCATCATTATAATCATCGTTACTAATTACGTCCAAAACATTTACCACATTATTATTATTATTTGATCCACAAAACCACCATCATTGGTTAAATTTTTTATATATAAGTCTATGTAAATTAGAGTAAAGCCTGAAGAAGATCTAATTGCAAACAATATTGTCGCTTATATATCTTGTTTTAAAATTGAAAGTGCAAAAAACTTACTAATTTCAGCCTGTAAGTGTGTGAGTTCTGTATAGCATCTTTTATAGCGATTCAGTTGTTCCTTGAAAATAAAGGAAATTGTACAATGATGAAGAAACATAAATATTATTTTTAAAGGAGGTTAACAAAAGTATATTTAAAGCTGAAAGTAAATTTATTCGTCGTTATTCTTTGGTGAGAGCTGGTTATCGACTGAGAATGTTTGGCTTTGGTATGTAGTAATATGGGTTGTCACATACGTATGCAGCGAAAATTGTAAAGGCCAACACAGCAGCTGTTTATATCTGTCGGTATTTTATCGGTCACTAACCAACTCTCCTCATGGAACATACATAAACTGTGCTTCAATTTCACTTTGATTATCGCTCCTTAAAACAGGGAATTTAAGCTTAAGATAAGATATGAAGTCAGTCTTGTAGTGTACGAACATGTAAATGAACTAAGAAGTAGCTTCCTGATTTAGAACCAATTAGAACGTGTACGCAGCCACACGACAACAAGAATTGTAAATGTAATTTTATAAAAGAAAGTTAGACAAGCATTATATAAAGTCTCAAGATAATAACCGACAAGGCCAATTAGGCCACAACATAGTGCTTTGACGTTTGAAATGATGTGTGCTGGGTTCTAGTTCCAATGGGAACACCACCATTTATTGTGACGAGTCCCAAATAAAATAAAGTGCGCACTCTTGATCCCACTGCTAGTCACCATCCATCCACCAAATAACATGTTAATCTTCAGATATCATTGAAGCCTTTGGCATCAGGAGCCGACATGTCAACACAGACCAAACACTTCAGTCCAACGTAAAAAATCAATCGGAAATACGAAATTTACTCAAACAAATAATTAAATATTTCAAATCTTTATATATTCCCATTTATAATATTAGAACAACACATATAAGCGAACAATATTGTTTGCAATTAGATCTTCTTCAGGCTTTACTCTAATTTACATAGACTTATATATAAAAAATTTAACCAATGATGGTGGTTTTGTGGATCAAATAATAATAATAATAACGTGGTAAATGTTTTGGACGTAATTAATAACGATGATTATAATGATAACAAAATATTGATAATAAGGTGAATGCAGGTGATAAGAATAACAAAGGTAGTATATGTATATATGTGTATATGTAGACAATTCAATAAATAAATAAATTAGGTCAAATCTTAAAAGGTGAAGTGGAACGATAATCAGAGTTCAAATAAATATCATAAAAGTACGAAGGAGATGGAAGATAAGAGAGGGTGGGAAGGTTTTGAATAGAATTCACCTAGGCCAAGGGAGACACAAATATTGTTCGCTTGTATGTCTTGTTCTAAAATTAAATATTTTACGCTTTTGAAAGGAAATTACGAAGTATGTTAAGCAACACGGTATCTGCTGATAATAAACATCAATACAAACTCGGAAAATCTATTAGCGGAAAACGTGACGTAACTTACAACAACGGGCTGCAGCTTAGCGGACATTTCTTCTAAATGTTTTTCTTGCTCTTCTATTGAATGAAGCGTTTCTTCACGTTCACATCGAAGCTATGAGTTGTAAACATAACATAACATAACAATTTCGCTTTATTCCAGAAACAGTACTTGTGGTACAGTGTGGAATTTTCAGCGCATATCTACAATAATGCATCTAATTTCATCATACATTTAAAAGGAGTATTACAAAAAATAAATAAATATAAAAAAACACAGTAAAAACCAAAAAGGAGCACAGAAATAACAAAAAAACAAAAGAAAAAAACGCAAATAAAAATCCTAAATAGAAAGGAAGATAAACACCAATGATGAAAAATATTTCAGTACTGGGTAGTGGAAGCTATGATATGTGTATGCGTGGTGAACAGTAACAGCTATAATCATACAAGAAATTATGAGATGTTCTTAAGAATGTTTATAGCCAAGATGATCAGTTAATTTGATTGAACAACACTAAACAATCATAAAATAAACATTTCAGGTTGTTTTTTTTATTGTCAGCACTAATGCAGTGTTTGTAGTGGTAGTGTGAGGAATCATGCATAATACAAAATTTTTAAGATGGTGATAGTGGCGTTCACAAACAAGATTGTCAGTTAAATAGTGCCGAACAAAGAACAACCACAAAACTAATATTACATGATGGTTAATGACAGGACAATTTTTAATAATCATAGTGATAATATAGTCGGACCCAGTAGATACACAAAAGAAGGAATAGAATAAAGAATAAAAAGTAAGCCAATGATAATAATTTTAAGCAGCTAAGTATGTTTAAGAAGGTTGTTCACTATAGAGTACAAATAAGAGAGTATAAGGGGGAAATAACAAGGGCCAAAATTATGTTATTAACAACAAAGCAAGTCATAGGTTTCACGCTTAACATTGTCTCTGTCACTTAGAACACGGGCCAAATATGGTATCGTTGAGTTCCTATACTTGGTTGTACGAGCATATATTATTTTGTACTGATTTCTGGTTCTACCTGATGAGATGCAAGGAGAGAGTTGGGAATAGAGGGGGTGTTGGGGGTCAGAGAGTATGGTTTTAGACCATTTCTCACATGTATTCAGATGCTTATCCACTAATGTTGTGACGAGCTGACTGAGTTTTACACCGCTAGTCCTACTAACTACCTTCAACATCCTTCTCAGGATGGTATAGTCCTTTTTCAGTAACCCAGGAAAGACTAACGGGGAACAGTAAAGTAGAATAGGTAGGATACGAGAGTTGACAAATTGTGAAAGCAGAGGTTGAGGGACTCCAGTTAGTCTGAGTTTCTTAATGTAGTAGGTTAGACGAAACACTTTCTTGGAAATCATTTGGATATGAGATGACCAAGTAAGGTCGGAAGATATAACTAATCCGAGGTATTTTGCATTAGACTTTGTTTCAATTATAGTCCCCTCAATTCTACAGGCATCATGAGTGCTTACTAGTGTTTGTAGATCTCGTTTATGCCTAAAGGAGAAGTCGACAGTCTGGCATTTTGAGGGATTCAGCATGAGGCCATTTAGTTTAGACCACTGACTGATGTCCGACAGGAAGCTATTTAATTTGAAGCAGTCTGACTGAGACTTAACGGGAAGCGAAACAGTCAGGTCATCTGCATATTTGACGAAGTTGATTTCGTCTGAGAGAGGTAAGTCATGTAAGAAGAAGGAAAAGAGAAACGGCGAGAGAACAGCACCCTGAGGAACACCAGCTTCAGTAAGCAAAGGAGAGGAAGCTACACCATTATATACCGTGTACTGCATCCTATTGGAGAAGTAAGAGTGCAGCCAGTTGATAGCCCAGGACTCAGTTTGTGTAAGGCTAAGCTTGTTTAACAAAAGGCCTCTAGGTACAGAGTCAAAAGCAGATGTGTAATCAAGGAAAGTACAACGGACATACTTGGCCCCTTTGTCTAAGGAGGATACAATGTTGTGATGAAACACAGCAGCAGCATCCAAAGTACTTCTACCCTGTTTGTAAGCAAACTGCTTTGGATCGTTTGAGAAGCTTAGGGAGGGAATGAGTTTTTGTAACAGTAATTTCTCCATCAGTTTCAAAAAAGGAGAGGTAATGGCAATTGGTCTAAACTTAACACTATCTCCAGAACCAGACTTGGGTACAGGGATGATTTTAATATCTTTCCACAGAGAAGGTACAACATTATTAGAAAAAGAAGTATTGAAAATGCTTGTAAGTGGGTTACTTAAAATATCAGCACATTTCTTTAAAACAATGGCAGGTATACCATCAGGGCCTAGACTCTGGGAAGGTTTAAGAGATTTCAAACATTTAAGAACATCAGAAGTATTGAAACGATGAAAGTCACTGGTCGTGTTATTAGTTAAATTGAAGGCAAAAAGGACATTTGGAGGGCGGATGAAAGATCTATTGAGAGTATTTACATCAATAGAAGAGGCAAAATTATTATGCTTACCACAACCAGTAATTTCTCTAAAAAGCTTCCATATGTTTTCTGAGGTTTTACAAGATAGTATTGTTTGATTATAAATGTTGTTTAGTCTCTTGATTTCAGATTTAATTTGGGTGTTTATCTTCTTAAGACCAGATTTATTCTTTGTCTTGTACAGCTTCTCTTTTTCTCTACGAAGTTTTTTGAGATGAGGGGAAGAAAAACGATCCATTCTTTTGAAAATTATCTGTTTTGGACAGCATATATCAAGACAGAATTTAAGATAGTCAGTCAAATTGGAAATAGTATCATCCAGTTTGTGTTCGTTGAAAAGTTCCCAGTTAGTGTCATTTAGCATACATCTTAGTTTGAGCATATTTTCTTGTGAGTAACACCTTTGCTGTGTTTTCTTGGACAGATTTGAGAAGATATTAAAGTGAGATCTGCTGTATATCTTAGGTAATATCCGAATAATACAATGATCTGAGTTCATGATAGGAGCACGTCGGCGTACTTCATATATTTCCTCATCATTAATGAACACTAGGTCCAGAGTTTTATCAAGTCGAGTAGGGAATTTAACAATATTGGCATGACCTAATGATACGAGGAAAGAACAATCACAGCAGTTAAAATCTCCTGTGACAACTGATAAAGAGTTTTCAAGATGTGTAACGGCGAATTCAGTGAATTCATCAGCAAAATCAGATAGATCAGATGCAGAACAGCCAGGAGTAACATAAATGTTAGAGATGAAGACGTATTTAAACTTGGATAAGTGTTTCGGGCGGCATTTGACCGTTATACAATCAATAAAGTCATTAGAGTAAGAAAAACATACATTATTTGAAGTTGACCATTGAGAATGAATGAAAGTTGCAACACCTCCACCTCTTTTCTTTCTGGAGCATAGTCGATCTTGTCTAAACAATGTAAAACCATTTAGGGAAACCAGATTGTCATCATAGAGTTCATGGAGCCATGTTTCTTGTAATGCAACAATCGCCGTATTGTGATAAGTATCAGATGATAAGAGAGACTGGAGATGCATAATTTTGTTGGGAAGTGAACGGCAGTTTGAAGTGACAATAACAGGAATGGTTGTACGATATAAAGGTGTCTGTTTAAGTGCACGCTGCCAGCCAGCGTGATGTTTTCTCTTAGATTTATTAGATGCATGAAAGTCATATGGTTTAAAACGTTTAATGAATGAATTACTGTATTTTATGCGATTTGTGATCATATTTTATTAAAATTAGGAATGAAAACATGACTATTAGATGCAATATGTGGATGCAGGAAAAGGAAAAGGTAGCCCAGATATCAAACAGGCCGCCAAGGTCCAAAGGCATACTTCGTTTTAATCAAGCCATAATTAAACATTCACATAAATTTATTCATAAAACTGTTCATTCTGGAATAAACAGTGGTCAGAGAACTTTCGGGTATAATAGACTATGTGACATACATTTTTGGCAAATCAATCCGTGGTCAAACTTGTAAAAATAAGTAGAAACTTGGAATTCTGCTGTAACCCACAAAATATGTACCGAGAATCTAATAGAAAACATTTCTGTTCCGAGTAAAACTCATAATCTTTAGCATTCGTAGATGATATCTTTAGTACTGAGTCCTTTCAGTGGTTATTAATTAGCAGTTGTATTGATCACAGTTGAAAACCACATGAGGCTTAAATCAAAATATGTTAGGTTATTCACACTGTGGTGAGAACTGCCTGCCGCCCAAAACTGGTAGACAGCAACTTACATCAATGTTTAAGTCCCAAATCTTGGACGTGAGGAAAAAAACATGAACAAAGACTAACTCAACTACCAATCACAGCAGACTTAGCGTGGGCGGATACGATTAACAGATATATCAACGGACTGTCTAAGAAACGGCAACAAAGAGATGACAGAATAACCTTCAGCAGGAAAACAACCAGTCAGAAGACGTTACTTCTCTGCTAAAATAACGAATAATAATGTATATAAAAATCTATAAATATCGGTTGATTTTCTCAGTAAGGGATCCGTTGCCTGGCCCTTTTCTTCTATCGTTACAACACAGCTTAGTCGGTTGGGACGAAAACATCTGGGTGGTTGGGAAATTTAACTCGCGTGATCAAATTTCTCACTGCAAACAACAGCCACAATCACCAACTTCAAATACCACAGGAGTGAGAAAAAGAAGAGAAAAGACTTGATCGTTGGAATGCAGCTTTTGTTGCCTCACATCTACGGTAACAACAGTAACAACAATATCAACAACAGTACAATTAGCCGACACAGAGTAATAATAGTAATTAAAACATCATGATAATGCAAACATTTCAATAATTAGATAAGAACAAAATTAGAAAGTGGAATGTGTAGATAATCAAAGTTTAAGTATGTATGAAGAATGTTTGAAAGGGAGTGAGACCTATTAATGACAGAACTATTCACTAAATTTACCTCAGCCGATGAAGAGAGATAAGTGTCGTTCCTACAACTGCTTTTAATGATATAGGCAAAACAGGCACTCGCGATAAAATGTTTCCTTGACTATTGTAATAGAAAATACAATACACCTCAGTGCGATTTGATTTACCTCAGCAACAGCTAAGTACTCATTATTATTCATCTGTCTAAATGACGATAAAAGAAATACTCTAACCACTACTGAGTGTTAATTTCAAAAAACAGAATCCACCACATATCTTAAGTGTGAAGATCAATGGAAAAGTCAATATCAATTACAGTCATGACTTACTTTAGAAGCTTCATCACGACTTTTTGTCAAGTGTTTTAGTTCAGTCTTGTATAATTTGACATTACCATCCTATGAGTAGAAAAAAATCTATAGGAATTTTATAAGACAGAATAAAAATTACAACAGTAAAGTGAGTAGCAAAAAAGGATCCACAATTGTCGGTTAATAATTATTCAGAAGACTTTGTTGTATTCAAACACTGTGAAGTAGTGCAACCTGTAATATTTAAACATACGCAATTTGAAGTTCATCATCAAAGCTTCCTTAGAACCTTCGTATATTCTTTAACCCTTTACTCAGACAATTTTTATGTTTGGATGTGACCGGGGTTGTTGCATTATTATCATTCACACTTTCTTCTTCATCTTCAAACCTTATTCCACTCTGCGGTTCATTAGTGTTTCAAATATTAGTGTGTCTGATCTGTTTTCAGGGGCAAAACAACTGCTCTCATTAATACTTATTTCCGATGAGAAGACAAATAATTTCCTCAGTTTACGGTAAATATACAAAGGCTTTCAAAGACAATATCGACTAGACTGGCAGCCAGATATCGTGCAACCCATTATCAACAGCAAACGTTAAAAGGCGAAATGAATACAACTCGATGGTTTAATATACTTTTAAGAACTAAAATGTGTGTTACATTGTGACCAACAATGCTGTCTTCTTAAATATTCACAGGGTGTAGGATCGACTGGATTCGGGTGACTCATTAACAAACAAACAAGTTTTAAAAAACAGTATATACCAAGGGGTACTGAGCACACATTTTGTTCTACTTTGAAACTCTTCAGGAAGGCACACTTATGGGTACATGCGCAAGCAAATTAAAGGCCTTCATATATCACAGTAAGTAGGTTATAATTCGGGCACGTTTTCAAATGAGGCTTCCTCTAGATATAGCATCAATACTATCCTATATTCTCGATAAGCTCCCGTTCTCACAAGCAGCTTGATGGAATCAACCCATCATAACTTCGCACTATAATTCCAAGGAATTTATCCCAAAACGAGTAACTGGTGAGCAGTGGATTGAAATAAGTTTTTTCTTTCAAAAAACGTATTTTATGAATTCACCACCAAGTGACAACCAATGTAGTCGCTCAATCATGTGTATTGATCAAGTTTGCAAAGTGGTTACTAAGCTAGGTGTGTCACGATATTGTCGTACATCATAATGCACCCTCTGACTTGATGTTAGACACCTATCTGAGTGAAAGATTCCAAAATGTATGTGAAATTAATAGACCATAATTAAAGTTATTCATATAAATCACAATCATTGGAATCTAAGTCCATATAAACCTAGAACACTATAAACGAAAAAAAATAAACAGATCCTATTCTAACTAACGTTGTCCTGCTTGCACTTTCTAATTGCGTCCAACGCTTTCACGTAACGCGAAGATGCGAATAAATCGTCAAAACGTTGCTTCACTGCTTTTGCTTCTTGTAAAGGCCTGAAAGTGAAGAGAATAATGAAGCTGTACTGACAGACTTGGGAAAACAGGACTCCGGTGCCAATATACATAAAAATATGCAAACAGAACTGAATACTATGAACGGATGAGAATTTTGGTTTCTAAAACTATTTACACCTATGACTTTTAAAGAAATGTAATGCATCAGCGCAAACACTCAAATTATAACCAATATGTAGCAAGTTCAAACCACACTTTCCCAACTCTGCCTGTGCAACCACGTAGTATTGAAAGCATACACTTTATTACATTAAAAAAATTTGCACGACAAATAGGTGGACAATGTTATCCTTCCGAATTAAGGTGCTGTGTTCTCCATGCTGGATTTTATTCGTCGTACCTTAGATAAAATGAAGAGTGGTGAAGATGTGCTGAAAGTTATTGGGAATTATGACATATCTCGACCTTGACTGGTATGAAAATATGTTCTCCGACTTCAAAGTTTCCAAATGATCAACTAAGTTCTTTAAATGATGCGGTTCAAAAACATTTGTGGAAAACAATCTGTCCTCGCGCATTAACTCTCAACTGACACATACAACATTTGCATGAATCACATTAGTTTTACTTCTCTTGCTACATACAGCAGATGATACTTTAGTTGTACTATAGGTCATCTGGTACCAACTATAGGTTGATCAGACAATTATTTAATTAGAATATCAATCTTTCCAGAGTCCAACGAAAAGAATTGTTTCAGGAAGTGTTTGTGCTATAGGTAGAGCCATAAAACAATATCTAGTGATATCATTTGTGCTCATAATTATCAGTTAGCACAACAGATTATAATACGTTTACATAGGACAATATGCTTTTGAAAACATACTATTCAGTAGTAGAATGTATATGTTTGAAAGTCTCTTCACAAATGGACCTTTTGTTGGACGCAAGAAATTTTTCCTCTTTAAAAATAATAAATAGTTGTGTTGGATTTGTATCTCAGTGTTCCGACCACTATACACAATTGCAAATCTGCTTGGGCTTACTTCTAACCTGTAGAAGGACCACTAGTGTAATGATTTTGCAGATAATCTTGCCACACTTCATTCTCGTGCTTTTATTATGTTACGACTCCTGTTACCATGGTCTATGGTTACAGCTAATAGAACTTGATTTCACTTCGCTCCACATATGAGTTAGTTTGATAAAACATTCAGAACACATCCTCAGAAGTTTTGTAAATAAGTCATAATCTGTTAGTGTGCATTGCCTGAAAAATGATAGCTGCATACCCAACGAGTACAACATTCATTTTTTTCACCGTTCTCTAGGTACAACTTCTTGCTTAAAGTTTCTTAACTTTCTCCAAAAATAGGGAATTTTAAAGGAATCACGTTTCTGTAATTAGCATGCAGCTTTTCACAGTAGGAACTTGAAATTGAGCAATGTGCTCTTTTGGTTTACAGTGGTTCAGTTTTAAGTGCGCAAAAATATATACTACTGACTGATTCCATTATAGATAAGATTTTATTTTTTTGAATCGCACAGTGTTTACAGTTATATTAACTGATCAGTTAACATAACTGTAAACACTGTGCGATTTAAAAAAATAAAATCTTATCTATAATGGAATTATACTCTACCACAGTGCCCAAGTTTTATACTTATATCAATACTGACTGATTGATATGAGCAGTTGGATAAAACTAACACCAACCAGTAGTCTTGTGAGCTGAATAAAATTGCGGTTTCCAAAGGAAACTGTAGCGAAATATCATGTCGAATTAACTCGCAAATTGTGAATTCGACTGTTTTAAGAACACATAAGTGAGCAGTGATATTTCATTTAGTAACTTCTAATCACAGCTGCAGAGTTATTTAGGGATCAATATGTATCACATTAATAGCCAACAAGGGTCACAGGTTACTGTCAGTCAGTAACATAAGTAAATCAAAGCGTATATGAAAATCACGAATAATATTGTTTAATATAGAATGTTTTCAACTTATTTGTTACGTGGTGTAGAGTTAGTTGGAAATAACTGATAGGAGGTGAGAGCACAAACAACTGAGTCACACGAAAAATGCACAGAGTTCATCAAGTAATAAATCAGAAAGATAAAAATGATAGTAAAAGAGGTTGGATAAAATGCTTCTCAACTTAAAGTTCAAGTCTTTTCAAGTGGGTAGTGAAAGTTTCGGCTGCATAGGGAAGATGTAAGCGAAATCTTTTTGACCGAATAGATTTTACTTTATGTATGTCTTTGGATGAGGTATCCGCTGATGATACATGACTAGAAGCAATAATGACTCTCAGAATTGAACTGTTGTCTGTCCAACGTTTGCCTTCAGACAACCATGCTGGTACGACTTCATGGGCGCCTCTAGACAATGTTCTGCTGGTACAGCCTATGTATTTAACAAAACAGACACAACTGAAATGTTGGATGTACAATGAGGCTGGCAACAATGGGAACTTGTTTTTGATGTTACGGTCAACAACCGAGTAATTAAAGCTGGAGCACACAGATGTAGCAAAAAAAATTGTTCCAATTGTTTAAGACAGACGGCTTCGAAAGACTTAATACCCCATGAATTCCAGATTTAAAATTAATTATTTCTCTGTCACATTCAAGTTTCGCGAAGCATCAAATTTCCATTTTAATGTTTGTCAATGAAGGAAATTGGTCGTCCATTCTTAATTAGTGTTTCTGTTTACAATTCCCTACTTAATGTATATTCTGTGAAAAATGTGACAGATTCACGCCGCAAGAGAGGCTATGAGAATGCTGTTTCTGCTTATTGGAAAAAAACTGCAAACGTCCTTTACTTGTCTATTTCATTTTGACTTGTGGTAAATTTATGTTTACAGGGATTCATCCGTTCGTCTTGGAAGCTGGACATCTAGGAAGAATAGTTTGTCTTTTAACTCAGCTTTAGTTTTTAAGCCGACTAGCCGATCAGCATTGCTAAAAATTTGCAGGATTTTACTAAGCTCAGCATTTTCATTAATGATGATAAGGATATCATCCATGAATCGTTTGTGAACTTGGGGCTCAGTGATGATCCGTTGGAGGCTGCATAATTTCAGGTACGCTATAGAGCCATAAGCAAGTAATGGGCCAACTGGAGACCCCACCGCTACCCCATTTTCCTGTTTGTATATTTGACCGTTGAATAAAAACTGGAAATTTTACATACACCTCAGTATTAGCTCCTTGATATACGTAGTAGGCACACCAACTTTGAAACTAATAGAGTCTATAAACTCACATAGACAGCACTCAATGTTTCCGTTAAGATGACATCGGTGAACATAGAAACTACATCGACTGAAGCCATAACTGATCCAGACACATTCATTTGTCTTGTCCAGTCCATGAATTCAAACATGTCTTATAACGAATACCTCACCAATGTCTTTTGCACAGGTTTTTCAGTTTCTGCTGACCATCGCACTACGGGAATAGTAGGGTAGTCTAGACGTGTCTAGGACTGGACGCACCGGCAACTTCTCTTGGTGGATTTATGGCAAACCACAAAGGCGTGGAACTGTTAAGTTGATTATTTAGTTCTGTTATGTCTTTAAGAGGGCCTTTGTTAACTGCTTTTCATTATGTACAATGTTACCTTTCTCTCAAATCTAGCTTGAGAATTCGTTGCCATCGTTTAGAATTGGAGATCTTTCAAATGTAATGTGATTTGTGTAATAAAACAGTTGCATTACCTCTGTCTCGGTGCATAAATATTACGTCTTTATTACCAGATAATTAGTTTGACTCCATCATATGTTGTCTGGTTAGAATTCAGTGGTGTTCCTCTATTGGACTTCAGATAGCAGTCGAGTATGGTTGGCTTGAAGTGTCGTGATTCTCTTGTTTGACTAACCAGACTCTTAAATTCGAATTCAGTATGAAGATATGAGTCTTCAGGAACTTGATAGCATTTCAAACCAAGTGATGGTGCTTAAGGTTGGTTTGACCAGCGTGACCACTAGACAAATCATCAAGTACCGAGAGCTTACGATGGATATAGTGTTCCATAGTGAATAAACGTGAGTGTATACCGCCAATAAAATTCAAAGCTTTACGTTCTGAAGCTTCGTGATTCAAATGGCTATGACTTCTTTGAAGGAATTTCTGGACAAAAGACCAGAGAACACATTTGAACTCATTTAATATCAATGAGAACGTAGGATTCTTCAAGTTATGAAAAATTTCCGTGATGTGAACTAAGAATACATCAGTTAACAAAGAAATCTATTTTTGTAACTTCTCATTCAGTTATTTTAGCATATAAAGTTTATGGGAAAATACCATGAAGGTCTGAAAGTTTATATATATATATATATATATATATATATATATATATATATATAAAGAAAAGCAAACTTACCAGTTAGAATCTTCTTGATGGCAGAAAATTACATTTTCAAGAACAGCTTTTGATACTCCCAAACTTGACACCATCTAATTAAATCATTTTGTTAAAAACTCATTTTATTAGGAAACTGTCAGTGTGGGATATTACAACCTAATTATAACAGTGATGCATACATATATCAGAACAGTGAAACAACTCAAATAATAACATCATAAACAATATTCAGTGAAGGCATCTGTTCAGATAAAGAATAACGTTGTTAATTCAACAGTTAAAACGAAATTGGCTAGATTTCAAGGTTAGAGCTGCACACTCATTGAAAGAAAACAACGTCGTCATAATCATTTTAAGCCTAATTTTACTTCATTGATAAAGTTTTTCTCTACAACTGACTTCTTCACTTATTCGACGACATTTCTTCTTTAAATTGATTGATTACAAAGCATACATTAACCGTTTAGCAATTGAGTGACAAGCTAACTCATAATACACATATATCAAACATACTTTTGACAACAATTTCCCGTAGATGGAATCAGCCTGCTTCATGAACACATGTACTTTGCTGTTTCTTCTGGTTTCTTGGTGTTGACAATGTCGTTGCCCAGTTTGTTTCTATACAACTGTATTTGCGTTGAGATTCCATTACGTCTATAGTATTTTTTACCTGATAACTGTACTATAGTCCCTATAAGAATTTCTTTTACCTCCTTCAGTTATTTCAACCGTGTTTGTTCTGACATTTCTAACCTTACCTTGTATGTCGTAGCAGTTTTTCGACAGTGCGATTCAACGTTTATGATTTATTGTTCACTATTGTTACTGAATTATAATACCGCATTGTAAACAAAATATTTTGGGGGATTTTACGCCTATCTTAAGCATAAGCTTTAAAACATAGTCCATACATCATTTAATCATTTCCATCAAACAATTCTAAAACACCACAGTAGTAGTAGTAGTATTTGTGCGAATTTCATCTTCAGAGTGCAGTGTATTTCACAACCCGTAAATATTTCTTCTTAAGAAGAAAACAACAAGGCAAATCTATATATCATGGTAGGTGTAACTAAAAACCAAGAGCAATGATCCAGATAAAACAAATACATTGTAAATACGGTTACTTCTTGATCTAGATCTGCGCATCGTAGACTGGCACTTGTAACACGTCCATCTGGGTGCTGACGTTTTATTGACCCATCAAGAGTCTTTAAAGTTCCTTGTTTTGCCTGTTGAAAGAAAAAAGCAATATGATATTAACCAGTACTAATGAAATTGCATTATCATCTATACTTATTTAGCGATAGCTACTGCAAGCAATAATGACTTTATATCAGCCATTTTTCTTTACACAATACGAAATCTCTAGTATTGCAATAATGTACCACATTTACTCTGGATACAAACAAGTAGAGAAACGCAAACTTTAGAATGGATTTAAAAGATACTATCTAACCTTATCATCAAAAGATATTTAACCCATTTTCGAGACAGAACAAGATCATTGTTTATATCCTTTCCTATTGTATTATTATAAAATATTAATAATAGTATAATGCTATCATATAAATCTAAAAGCTATTATTCCGTATCTACTACTTACATTCTAAAACTAATAAATAATTCTATCTTATCGAAACATGCAAAATCTTCCTCCTCACCCTTTAAGTCTGCCAACCGGCAGTCTACCTTCCAGAGGGCACAGAAACTACGTTATGTGTTGACACTTCCAAAACATGACCGGATTTCTACAGTGATATTTAGTCACAAAAATTGATAGGTCACAGATGTGACTATCCTTACTCTTGAATACGGGAAGCTGTACTGCTTACAAACAAAACGAAAAATCTCAAGTAAGTAAAAACAAAAAAGTAATAGTGCATTATTAAATTACTAGGTAGGAAATTTTCTGTAGAAAAGGCCATATTTCCAAACTATTAAAAAAAACACGATTAAGTGCGAAACACCGCGTACACATTATATGTGCAATATAACTATTAAGTCTGACACGGAGAACAGGATTAAAGTCTTTCCATATTAGTTTGTTTATTAGATGTATGTATTAGATGAATAAAGTCTCACTTTATCTCTTTGCGTCGCCATAAGTGCACGTGAAACAACCATGGGACAACCCTTGACATCTCTAATTTGAAGTGTAATT